CTCGTGGATTTTCTGAACCCCAAATGTGACAATTTTGTCAATGTACCAAGCCATCAAGATGAAAATGAGCCTCATCGAAATTCAGCCACATTTATGCAAAACGGTCATGGAAAATTTCAACAAAAGAGTGCATATGTTCCAGCAAAGCCGTGGAGGCCATTTACCCAATATGCTATTCCATACATAACCCTATATTGTATACTTTATGAATCAATAAAAAAATTACAATTTTTAATTATAAACCTGTGTTTTCTATCAAAATTACTTCTTGCGTGAATTTTGGGACACCCTTTATTTCAGCTCCAGGCCCAGAAAAGTAGCAAAACCAGCCACAGCTGGCCTCAGGACCAGCTGCATTGGATAATGAGCCCCTTCCCTAGCATAGGCCAATCAATCAGTGGACACCTAGACCCTGAAAGGACACACCTGGGAAGCTGATGAATAGTCTATTAAGATCTTCCCCTGGGACCTCCCTAAAAATCTCCATCCTTAAAACCCATGCTCCTCCTCCAGGAGCAAGCCCACACCTTTCCCTTTCCCCTCCCCCTCCCCCGGCCCTCAGGCGCATTTCCATTACCTTCTTCACTCCCAAGCTCCAAGGGCCCTTCCTTTGCCCCTATAACTTGTTTCCCAAGTCCATTTCTTCCACAAATTACTTCTTCTACCTCTGAGATTTTATAAATAAACTAGAGGCCCGGTGCACAAATTCGTGCACCAGTGGGGTCCCTTGGCCTGGCCTGTGGGATCGAACCGAAACCTTCTCCAACATCCCCTGAGGGGTCCCAGATTGCAAGAGGGCACAGGCCAGGCTGAGGGACCCCACCAGTGCATGACTGGGGCCGGGGAGAGATGGGGGAGGTTGGACAGTGGGGAAGAACCGTGGGAGGGCTCCAGGGCATGTCTGGCCCATCTCACTCAGTCCCTATTGGCCAGACCCCAGCAGCAAGCTAACCTACTGGTCAGAGCACCTGTCCCCTGGTGGTCAGTGCATGTCATAGCGAGCGGTTGAGCAGCTTTAGCATATCATTAGCATATTACGCTTTGATTGGTTGAACGGACGACCAGACGACCGGACACTTAGCATATTAGGCTTTTATTATATAGGACTAGAGGCCCAGTGCATGAATTTGTGCACAGGTGGGATACCTTGGCCTGGCCAGCGATCGGGGCTGATTGGGGTCATCTTGCCCAGTCCTGATTGGGGTCGATCAGGGCTGGCCAGTGTGGGGGAGGGACTACAGGAGGAAGGCCTACTACGGGAGGTTGGTTGTGGGAGCGCACTGACCACCAAGGGGCAGCTCCTGCGTTGAGCGTCTGCCCCCTGGTGGTCAGTGTGTATCATAGCTCCAGCTGATCATCTGGTTGTCTGGTCATAATGGTCACTTAGGCTTTTATATATAGAGAGAGTAGAGGCCCAGTGCATGAACTTGTGCATGGGTGGGGTCTACCAGCCTGCCTCCATGGGGCCATTGGGCCGGGTTGGCTGGGGGGAGGGGCCGTGGGAGGTCGGCTGGCCCTGCCCCCAATTGGGGTAGGGGGGGCTGATCAGGGGCAGGGCTGGCCGGGGGGAGGGGCTGCGGGCAGTTGGTGTACATCCCACCAGGTTCCCCAAGATCAGGAACTGCATAGGCGCCCCCAGAGCACCAGCATGGCATTTTCTTTCCTGCGCTCCCTCAATCTCCTCCATGAGCTTCAGGGCCACAGGAGGTATGGTGCTTCCTGGGAGTTGTAGTGTGCTTCCTCCACAAAGAGCTCTCCTATAGACTGGGCTCTGGGTTTCCGAGAACTACACCTCCTGGCGTACCCCGCTACAGGTCAGCCTTATCTGTCAGCGCAGAGTGGAGGACCCAGGAAGCCGGCTGCAGCAGGAAGAGGGAATGTGCTTGCGCTAGGCCAGCCTGTCCTGTTTGTCCCAATCATTGTAAACAGGCAGAGGCAGGGCGGGGTAAGAATGGAGTGCCTGAGGCCGGCCAGGGCACAGTGCAGGAGGAGGCTGTGGCAGCAGTGTGAGCGCGAGGAGGCAGTGGCTGCTGCGCAGGTGGGCGGGCACAGGTTAGTGAGGGGCGGCGGTGGTGTGCAGGGGCCGCAGTGCACCCCCCTCAGGTGCCTGGGGAGCCCTCTCCGCACCTGCCTCACAGTAGCGTCTGTCAGAGAGCCTGTGGAGCTGGGTTAGAGTTGGGGGTAGAAGGTGTGGCTGCCCCTAGTGCAGGTTCTTTCAGGCAGGCTTTTCCTCAGTTCTCACCTTCTTTGCTGTGCATTCCTCCCACTTCCCAGCCAGGCCTCCCTCGTGACAGCCACATTTGTAATTTGGTGCTCTGGAGGTCTGAAAGAGCACAGCCAGGAACCGAAACCCTCCCCGCTGGGGCTCCAGGCCTCAGGGCAGCTCTTGGGCACCTTGGAGTGAGGGGGGGGAGTGGCCTAAATGAGGGCGGGGCCACTGGGGGGAGGGGCCTAAGGGAGTTGGGGGGGCCAATCGGGGCTAGATCACACTGGTTGGCTGCCACAGCGTGCATCATAGCCACCAATCATTCTGGTCGTTCTGGTCATTCCACTGTAATGGTCACTTGGCTTTTTATATATATAGATGTTCCTTATAGTTGAAGTCTTGGCTCTGAATCTTTCCTAGGCTGAACTCAAGCACCGAGTGTTAGGGTCACAGAAGGAGGAATGCATGAGGTAGAAAGTGGTAAAGAATTATGAATTTATTAGATCACCTGGAAAAACAGATGGGCTGAGCCCCAAAATAGTGCTGGCAGTCAGGGACTGGGAGTCAGAGATTTTAAATGACTCTAGATAGGCTTTTTCTGGGCAGAGAATTCTCTGGGTGGGTGCAGATCCTGGGAAAGTCCCAAGGGAAAAGATAGTAGTCTTAGCAAGTGGAATGTGGTCTTATTGAAAGGGAATGTAATGAATGTCAGTTGTGAAGTGGTCTAAAGGTCAGTTCCCAGGGGACAGGGTATCCGTTCAATTATTTAATCCAACCTGTTAGAAATAAGGTGAGCCCATAAACTAGGGGTCCTGATAGAACACAAAGGATAGTCAGGAGCCAGACAGTAAGGCAAATATCTTTACTTCTGCAGGAATATGTGCAGCCAACACTGGGTCTGACAGCATGCACATTGAGTGAATGGTCTGCTTGGGTTTTATCCTTTGACACATGCCATCTGTCCCTCACTCTTGATTGGTCAGAGCATAGGCGCACATTCTTTTGTGATTGGCTAATTTAAAGAAAAAAAGGGAGGGATTGCCCTAACTGGTTTGGCTCAGTGGATAGAGCGTCGGCCTGCGGACTGAAAGGTCCCAGGTTCGATTCCGGTCAAGGGCATGTACCTTGGTTGTGGGCACATCCCCAGTGGAGGGTGTGCAGGAGGCAGCTGATCCATGTTTCTCTCTCATCAATGTTTCTAACTTTCTATCTCTCTCCCTTCCTCTCTGTAAAAAAAATCAATAAAATATATATTTTTTTAAAAAAGGGAGGGGTTGACCTTTGCCATTTCAAAATGGTGGTGGTTGCCTACACTCCCTTTTTGACAGAAAAGATTACTTGTTTATTCTTACAATTCCCCCCTTTTCTTAGGGTGGAACTCTTTTCTTCAAACCCAGCATTAGCTGACTTCATGCTCTGCAGTGTTTAGGAGAAGGAGATCATTTTTCTGTTTGGTCAATGTGGTTTCAATTAACCTTTGGATAAGACCTCTCATACAAGGGATGATATAACATCCCATTACTGTAACTCCTAACCCGATTATCAAAGAGGTGAATATAGAAACCATCATTCTTTTCCACTTTCTGAACCATTGCTCTAGTTGGAGAAAGGATCCTTAATTCCAGGATTCTCAATGAACTCATTAGCTAAAGTTGCCAATCCCTGTAGGGCCTTAGTAATGGTTCTGTCTGGAGCTGTGTTGTCAGGAATGAATGTACAACATTGCCCACCCCTCCCAACATTACGCATACTCCTCCTTTTTCTGCCAGAATCATATCCAAGGCCAACTATTCTCCCACATCATCCTGCTGGTGGCATCTAGTTGTTCAGCTATACCTTTAACTGCATCTCGCCTATAGTTAACAAACCTTTTCTGGTTATAGCAAATATAATTAACCCAATCCACATTTTTGTTGACAGTTGACAACCAGAACAGGACAGATTCAAATCCTACAATGATCTGATTTCTAGCCTTAAACTCATTTGGCACTCCTCCTGAACCCCAATAGAATCTGTGTAAATACAGGGATCAAAGGAGCCCCCTGGACTCTCTCTCTTCTTCCTAGCCTGTCTGTCCATTGAAAAAGGTTATGATATGCCAAAGTGAAAGGGATAGTCAATTGTATCAGAGCACAAGTTCTGCTCCAGTTGCTGGGCAAGGTCGCAATAATGGTCCCCCACAATACCACCAGACATTAGCATGGGCTATCGACAGTGCAGAATGATTGACTTCTGAGGATACTCGGCCATTTATGCATCTGGATAAATTTTTCATAAACTCTGAATACTGTTCCCCCCCAAACACATTGAGAGGGAGGAGGTATAGTTTACATCAGAAGATGAAGGCTGAATTGTTTTGGGGACCCTTGCGCTTTACCTCTGTTGGATGGGAACAACAGGGATAAATAAAGTTGTACAGGAAGCGTTTCCCCAGGCGGTTTCCTCCCAATACGGGCAAGCATACATTCCATCCCATTACTGCCTGAGGTCCATCCGAATGGAAATGGGACCACTTGGGCCTCTAGCCTTCGTGCTGCACAAGTATAACAGTCACTTTTATTTAGGGCACATACAGAATATTTAATCCATTCCACCCAGGCATTTGTTTTCTTATATCCTACTTCTATTTGCATGCTGGTGGCAGTGGTCTAGGGCAGTGGTCGGCAAACTGCGGCTCGCAAGCCACATGTGGCTCTTTGGCCCCTTGAGTGTGGCTCTTCCACAAAATACCACGTGCGGGCGTGCACGTACAGTGTGATTGAAACTTTGTGGCCCGTGCGCAGAAGTCGGTATTTTGTGGAAGAGCCACACTCAAGGGGTCAAAGAGCCACATGTGGCTTGCGAGCCGCAGTTTGCCGACCACTGGTCTAGGGGATCTTGTCCTGTAACATCTACTCCTAAATGTAGTCCTAGCCAATCTCTTGGCCTAAAGGCTGAAATATCCAGGTCATTCAAGTTATCTATAATCAATAAGTTAACTGGGTAAGCATGATCCTGATTATACACATTTCCCCTGCAATTTGCCAGAGCCCTAAAGCAAATAGACAGCTTACAGTTTCTTTGGTGTTAACTTTAAGGGGCTATGTCCTGAAATGGCCATCCAAAATGAGGTGTCTCCACCCAGAGAGGCTGGTGGTACACCCCCAACCCGAGTGGGATGGGTCCAACCTTGTTCTGCAGTCCAAACAGCAGACTCAGTGGTAACATAGTCTCCTGGTCGATGGTGATAAGCCAGGAACTCAAGAAGAGGGCTTTGAGCCAGGAGGCCTTCTGATCTGAGAGACATTAAAATAGAAGAGATAGCCAGTACATAGTTCTTAAGAAATTGTCCCTAGTCTCCATTGTAGGGAGAGCTTGAGGCATACCGGGGACTATTGGAATCACCTAAAGCCAATTCTAGGTCAAGAAAAAGTTTAACTTCATTTGTCCTTGGGTGTGGTCAGCAAATGACACTAATTGGATTTCTGCTACCTGTCTCCCTGAGTACGTTCATATAAACTTTTTATATGAACTCTTGTTAGGGAGGCAAAATGTAAATCACTTACTCTTAAGTGTCCTTGGTTTATGGAAGATGGGATTTACTAAACAGCTCCAAATTGCTGTTTAACCATCTCAGTTTCCTATTCTACTTGTCCTGGCTTCCTGGGCTGTGTCATTTATATAACTTCCTTTCAACAGTTCTCTTTACAAACATTCCTCAACGTTCACAAACCCTTCCTCATAAATCTTACAACTTTCAGAACCCACTTTCTTTTTACTTCAAAATGACACCAAAACCATAATTTCTTCCTAATTAGTTAGAATTCTTAACCCTTAGAAACCTTAATTTTTAGGTGACATGTAAGTAATTAACATTCCTCAGAGTAGCAATACATTCACAACTTTAAGAGATATTTTAAATAAAATACAAGACTTGCCGAAACCGGTTTGGCTCAGTGGATGGAGCGTCGGCCTGCGGACTGAAGGGTCCCGGGTTCGATTCCGGTCAAGGGCATGTACCTGGGTTGCGGGCATATCCCCAGTAGGAGATGTGCAGGAGGCAGCTGATCGATGTTTCTCTCTCATCGATGTTTCTAGCTCTCTATCTCTCTCCCTTCCTCTCTGTAAAAAATCAATAAAATATATTAAAAAAAAAATACAAGACTTATTATTCATTAACAGATTCAAATCTATCCTCTAGATCAGGGGTGGGCAACCTTTTTGACTCGAGGGCCACAATGGGTTCTTAAACTGGACCGGAGGGCCGGAACAAAAGCATGGATGGAGTGTTTGTGTGGTTTGTGTGAACTAATATAAATTCAAAGTAAACATCATTACATAAAAGGGTACGGTCTTTTTTTTTTTTAGTTTTATTCATTTCAAACGGGCCGCAGTTTGCCCACGGCTGCTCTAGATTCTCCATACATGGCAAACTGAGGTTAATATTTCAGTATCCTGGTATTTCAAAATACCTAGATATTTAATAATTTTTTACCATTTAACCCAGCAATCTCAAAGTTTTAAGTTACTAAAACTTTGGAAGTTACTAAAAGTTTTTGGAAAACTATGTTTAGGCATATATAACTATTATCATATACACTTAATATTTTTATATTTACAACAACTTTGAGATTTTAAAGCTAACTATTATTACTCAAGGCATTTTATTGGCAATTTTGTAACAGGGACAACTCACCAGCCTTCAGTGGCTTTAATGTGAAAGTACTATTTATTTTATTTTTCTTTATAAAAACGGGAGTGACCCTGCCTACTCCCCCCCCCCCCCCCACCCCATTGCTATCTCTCCAACTTGCTAGAGGACACTTCTGCAGATCTGTTCCTCCCAGTGTTAGAGGCAAAAATCTGGAAATTGTAAGCCCCTGGGACCTGGTAGTCAACTTTGGACCTGGGAGTCAACCTTGGAATGTAGTCCGTTCTCATTCAAGACCTGCCTATGATCATGGAAAGGTTAACAACGTTGTTGCCCAAACAATGGAGTCCCACCCCAGCCCACATCACTTACTTCCCCGGGCCTGTAATCCCTGCTTCCTCATGTAATCTTTGTCCCTATGTTCATAAACCAGCGAAGAGCAAACTAAGCCCCCAAAAGATAGACAGCAAGCAAAGTAAATTGGTAACCTAAATTACATTACAGACACACAGACAAGCACTCTCACTAGCTAAGAGTTTCAGGCAGCTGATGCCCTGAGAGGGAAAGCGAGAAGAATCCCAAAGATTAAGAATTCTTGGCAGCTGCTGGACGTTCCTGCAATCTCTGCCACATGTTCAGCCTTGCCACAAATAGCTGGGCTCCCCCAAAGTGGGACATGCCCTATCTTTAAATAAATTAAACCAAAAAACAAAGAGACACAAAACAGAAACACTCTTATATACAACTAGAGGCCCGGTGCACGACATTCGTGCACTGGGGGGTGTGGGGGGTCCCTCAGCCTGACCTGCACCCTCTCCAATCTGGGAGTTTCTGTCTGTCTTTGCAATCATATGAGCAAATTGTCCGAGACCCCAACTCAGTTTGGTTTGTTGCTCACAGAATAATAGAGGTATTTTTATTTTTCTTTGCTTCATTGGTGGAGATTTCCTGGAAGTTTTAGGATATCTTCCCTTTAATTTTTCCTAGACACTCAGATTTTACTTATGTCTCTCACCTTTGCTTTCCCTTCATCCCCCACCGCAACAGTAACTTGCCCCAGGCTCACTTTGCTCTAGGTCAGCGGTTCTTAACCTTCCTAATGCCGTGACCCTTTAATACAGTTCCTCATGTTGTGGTGACCCCCAACCATAAAATTATTTTCGTTGCTACTTCGTAACTGTAATTTTGCTACTGTTATGAATCTTAATGTAAATATCTGATATGCAGGATGTATTTTCATTGTTACAAATTGAACATAATTAAAGCCTAGTGATTAATCACAAAAACAATATGTAATTATATATGTGTTTTCCGATGGTCTTAGGCGACCCCTATGAAAGGGTCGTTCGACCCCCAAAAGTGTCACGACCCACAAGTTGAGAACCGCTGCTCTAGTGTCTAGGACAGTGGTCGGCAAACTCATTCGTCAACAGAGCCAAATATCAACAGTACAACGATTGAAATTTCTTTTGAGAGCCAAATTTTTTAAACTTAAACTATATAGGTAGGTACATTGTTATTAACTTAATTAGGGTACTCCTAAGCTGGCCTTTGCTAAAAACGTCCTCAATCTGAGGGGTCGACCTCAGCGAACGTACCCCCACTTCTTCTAACGCCAATTCTTCAAAATAGACTTGCCCAGGCCGAAAACCGACTTCTGCGCATGGGCCATGAAGTTTCAATCGCACTGTACGTGCGCGCCCGCAAGTGGTATTTTGTGGAAGAGCCACACTCAAGGGGCCAAAAGAGCCGCATGTGGCTCGCGAGCTGCAGTTTGCCGACCACTGATATAGGATATTTATAGGTGCACACAACCCGCAGAGAAAGCTTCTCATCATGCTCCTTGTCTGTCCAGCCAGGCACCACAGAATGCCCTGTATAAAACACCACCGAAGCAGAGCAATCTTTCTTGTTCCTGGTTTGGGGACTGTCCCCCTCCTCCCTGATCCTCAGCATTCTCCTCAATGGACTATCTGGGGGAATGTATTCCCTAGGCCTAGAATTTTTGTTTCCCATCCTCAGAAAGTCCCTTGTGACTATTCTATGTGTCCTGTGTGCTCAATCCCCCATACTGGAGATTTCTTGCACTTCCCAAGATCCACTTCAACCCTCTCTGGACATTACCCTTGTGGGAGATTAGAACCACAGATTAGAATCCCCCATTCACTTTTTGTTCCAGACACATCCCAGTCACATATACTCAACCTCTGAGGATACCCAACCATCAAGGCAGTCCTTATAGTCCAGTTTTCCACCTTGGCTTATGCATGAGGTTACCTGGTTGCCTAGTGCTTGCTTGGGCCTTTCCCACATTGCTGGCGGACTCTCCATCCAGAGCTTGTAGTTGGCCACCACCTACAACAAAAGCAGTACAGAGGGAAGGTTTTAAGGCTGCCCTGTGTGGCATGTCACCCGGCCCCAAAATGGCAGGACTGGGCCACCTGCCAGCTCCCACTCTTCTCTCACAGGTGTGCAATACAGAGGCCACAGGGAGCAGTTCCAGAGCCCCAGGAGGCCATACTTATCTGCCCATGGGTCTCTCTGTCCTCATATTGCCCAGGAAATAGGAACTTGGAATATTGCTGCAACCTCACCTCCCCAACCTGAGACAGGACAGTAGGCCAGTAGAACAAGTGGAATAGGGAAATGAAGACAGATGCTGAACAAACTGCAGAGCGATTTCCAGCCGATACAGAAGGTTGCCTCCCTAGAAATAACATGTAGGCTTCAGTGTATTTCAGCTCCAGACCCAGAAAAACAGCAAAACCAGGGGGTGACACCAGGACCAGCTACAATGACCCCTGCCCTGACACCGACCAATGGGTGGAGACCACCACCCTGGAGGAGCACACCTAGAAAACTGATGACTATTTTGCTGAAATCCTTCCCTAAAAGAAATAAAGCCAGTGAGAAAGAAATAAAGACTCAAGACAAAGGACCTTGCACATGCTCTCCCTCTGGGGAGCAGTTCCCATCATTCCCTTTCCCCCCGTTTCCCCCACTCTTATAGCCCTGCATCTCCTAAACTCTAAGAAACCCCACAAAACTTGCAACCAGAGGAGCAATGGGTAGCAACAGCTCATCCCAGGTTAACCCCTGAACCTGATCCCAAGGCCCCCTTTTCTCTAACTTTCCAGAGAACTAGGGCAGTCCACCCTAGACTCTCCTATTGCTTCTTCCATGCTAAATCCTTTCATATTTTACTGTCCTCAGCTTTAATAAAGATTTCCTCATAGTCATCTGGACTCATGTTTGAAATTTTCCCTGCACAAAGTCAAGAACCCACACACTACCAGCTGGTCCGAGGCAGACCTGCTAAGGGCCAGGTCCCCTTTCTGGCCTCTCAATTTCCACCTGGAAAGATGGGGAACTGGCCCAACAAGAACCCCTCATGAGTCAGGTGCCTCTGGCTCCCACACCTCAGGCTGCCCATCTGGGGCCTATAAATTTGTCAGGAGCCTATGGAAACATTCGCAGACTTAAAAGAAGAGCAATAAAATTATTGAGCCTGAATATTAAAACCAAAATTAATAAAACTTTAAATAGGTGACTATAAAACACGCCATGGCCTTGCTTTTGTATTTTTATTCAGCATTCCTGAAAAGTTTGTGATATTCAGAAACTATTTGTAGATTTGGTTTTTCTCATTTTGCAAAGATTTCCAGGATACTGAGAAATCGCAGCCAATCACAACTTCAACAGGTTCTTCAGGGCCAAAGGATTTCAAAAGCAAAATGAAGGGGAACTATTTCAAATGACATTATTATCTATACACTATATATATATATATATATACTGTAAAGTTAAGAAACATTCAAACCTATAGAGAATTTTTTGTGAGTTTATTTGAGCCAAACTGTCAACAATTTCTGGAAAGCAAAATCTCAATGAATTGAGATAATGCTCCAGTGAATGGCAGTTTTGCACCTTATTTTCTATATATAGACTAGAGGCATGGTGCACGAAATTTGTGCACTGGAGGGGGGCGGTCCCTCAGCCCAGCCTGTGCCCTCTTGCAGTCTGGGAGCCCTCAGGGGATGTCCGACTGCCAGCTTAGGCCTGTTCCCCCCTGGGCCTCTACTGTATATATATAAAAAAAATGGACACACTTTAATACTGTTACCAGACCACCTCAGCCCGGCCTGTAGTGTGTGGGTTTTTGACTTCATAGGAGTCCAAGTGATTTTGAGGGTATGTTTATAAAAGCTGGGGACAAGGACGGGCTTAAGGTAGAAGAAGCAACAGGAGAGAGCCTAGGTGGGGCTGCTTTGGCTCACTGGCAAGTCAGAGAAAAAGGGGGCTTTGGAGATAGGATCGGGGGTTATCCTGGGACAAGCTGCCATTGCCCATTGCTCCTCTGGTTGCAAGTCTTGTAGAAACCATTAGAGTATAAGAGAAAGAGAGCAGAGATACACGCTTCTGTGGGCAGGAATCCTAGGGGAGTTCTCAGGGGAGGGTCTTAACAGAATATTCATTATTCCAGGTGTGTCCTCAATATGTTGATTCATCAGAATGTGTGTATGGAAAGGACAGGGTTTTTTTCTGGTTAGTTTCATTTTTCAAGAACATCATCAAAGAGGGACTGGGACTAAGGCTAGTCTGTCCCAGAATGGTCTAGATCAGGGGTAGGCAAACTTTTTGACTCGAGGGCCACAATGGGTTCTTAAACTGGACCGGAGGGCCGGAACAAAAGCATGGATGGAGTGTTTGTGTGAACTAATATAAATTCAAAGTAAACATCATTACATAAAAGGGTACGGTCTTTTTTTTTTTTAGTTTTATTCATTTCAAATGGGCCGGATCCGGCCCGCGGGCTGTAGTTTGCCCACGGCTGGTCTAGATTCTACCTGGGAGTCGTGACCCTTTTGGGGGTCGAACGACCCTTTCACAGGGGTCATCTAAATACATCCTGCATATCAGATATTTACATTACGATTCATAACAGTAGCAAAATTACAGTTATGAAGTAGCAACGAAAATAATTTTATGGTTGGGGGTCACCACAACATGAGGAACTGTATTAAAGGGTCGCAGCATTAGGAAGGTTAAGAACCACTGGTCTAGAATGTGTAAACCATTTGCTCCTGAGTGTCCTTGGTTAGGGAAGACAAAGCCTTGTGATTCATTAGCTGGCTGTTCATTGCTCAAATTGTTTGGCCTTATTTAGTTATTTTGTCTGTTTCCTTTATTCCACTTGTCAAGGAAATTCCCTAGCTTCTTATGATCCTGCCTCAAAATGACTGAAATCAAATCAGCCTGGAAGACTCACCAATAGGATGCAAGAGGCTGCACATACCTCACTCTCTGCAAACCCTCCCCAGGTCCCAGTGTGCACACTTTCACCCATCCACAGGGGGTCTCTAGTCCTACCCTCCCAGCCAAAAGCCCCGGCCCCAATCCAGCTCACTCTTGGACATGGCATGTTCCAGTCCAGCCCTAGGGAGAAGCTATGGCTGGCCTTGTTGGGTATAAGCCTCATAAACATTTGGATATCCAAATGCAAAATCACAGTGACTAAAGATTCTGGAAGTGAAGTTGACAGAAATCTCTAATTGGTGGTCTTCCCAGGCTAAAACCAGCCCTCAGATGTGTTCTGTTTGACCTGAATAATTTTTTAAAAAATCTGACCCAACTTTTAATATTAGAACTTCCACATAAAGATTCAGATCTCTGATACCTATTAAAAATAGTAGCAATTGGCTGGAACTGTGTACAGCCTATCCCTTACTTTTTAAAAATTAAACTTTTTTTCAAGGTAGCACGTTTTTAGGATATATAAGTGAGTGTCTCTTCCCACCCCATCCTGTAGCCTCTCAATCCCCCTCCCCCGAAGCAACAATATTTTATTCATATTCACATATAAATTATTTTCCTCTTCACTAATGTCAGCACACTTTGATACACCTTGTTTTTTTCCCAAGGTATCTGGGAAGTACTTCTTTACCTATCCATGTGAGCCTGCTCCAGTCTTTTTGGCAGCTGCCATTTAGACAGGACAATAGTTCTCCTATTTGCAGAGTTATCCCCATGCCTTATAATCTCACGTCTGTCCTGCTGTACTCATTCATGATTCTTGCCTGGCCCCTTTGGCATCTGAGTTTGTAGACCAGTGGTTCTCAACCTTCTGGCTCTTTAAACACAGTTCCTCATGTTGTGACCCAACCATAAAATTAATTTTGTTGCTACTTCATAACTGTAATGTTGCTACTGCTATGAATCATATTGTAAATATCTGATATGCAGGATGGTCTTAGGTGACCCCTGTGAAAGGGTCGTTGGACCGTCAAAGGGGTTGCGACCCACAGGTTGAGAACCGCTGTTGTAGACGGTGGCATAGATGGAGGATGCATGCTCCGTCCACCACAGTGCACTCAGGCCTTCTCACTCTGAGATGCCTGTAGTTCCCAGACTTCCCAGCAGGGAGAGACACCACTCCACTCCCAAGACCACCAAAGGGGTCTCCCAGGGATATTACAACCTTGAACTGTCTGTGCAAGAGATGCTATCTGCCCAGACACAAAGACCCCTTAGCTGGACTGGAATCCCCCGCAGGCCTTCCCTTCCTCTGTTTCTATCTCCACCCACCCCGAATTTCCCACTTTGACTGAGCCCCACCCTCCCTGAGTGTCCCCTCCACTTCTTGTAGGGACTGGCCCCTCCTGAGTGGGAGTGGGGAGAGGACTTGTCCTAGTTTAGGGCCTGGGACCGAGAAATTGCCTGAGGGAACCACATGAAGAAACCATACAGCTGGGTGAACATTGCTGTCTCCCTGTCCCTCCCTGCTGAGAAGTGGGGGGTCTGTTCTCCCTGCCCCCAGCAAATAGCTCCAGCAGAGCCTTGACCTCCAAACCCCTTTTCCCTGGCCTGCACTCCACCCTCTCCCTGGCCTGGTTCCTGCAGCCCTCCTCCCCACCCCTGTGATGGTATTGGGGGTCGCCTGGAGTCCAGCTGGTGGCCAGCACAGAGCCACCCCTTTTCTGGCCCTGCCCCTCCCCATGACCCCAATCCTCTACCAGCCACTCAAAGGAGCCTTGTTCTCTATCCAGCCCCCAGACAAAAGTCTCTCTGTCTAAAAAGGCGGAATTGGGGGGAGGGGGCACCCCAACGGGGACCAAGTGGGGGCATGCACAGACCCCAGCCGGAAGGAATGCCGTGAGGAGGAGGGGCAGGAGAGGAAGGAGGGCGGGTAAAGGAGCTGAGCACGGTGCAGTTGGGCCTTATCCGGAATGGCAGGCAGCCCCCCACTCCAAGGCCCACTGTTAACCCAGGCTCTCAGCGCTCTTAGGAAGAGCCTGGGCTACGAAGGTCTGGACCTGGTGCTCAGGAGCCAGTTCCCAGTCTCCCTGGGGCACGAGGGACACAACAGGGGAGGGGTCATGGTCTAAGGCCAAGCAGCCCCACCCTCTCCTTGGCCATACCAGCATCTTCTATTGACCCTCAAACTAAGTCAACGGCAGCAAGTGGCCTGGAAGAGGACATTAGCTCTCCCACGATTGAGGCCAATCCCTCCTCCAAGCACAGCACAATCTAAGTGAAAGTAACGGGCATGTTACACCTCTGCGTAGCCCTCCTCCACCCCCTCCCAGACCCCCAGCCACGCTCTGCTGTTAAAACCCCTGCACTTTCTCCCTTCCAGGCCCCTTTCTGAGGGGCAGGAGATTGGAGAGAGCCCCCTCCCCTAATGTCGGGGTTGGGGATGAGGTCCAGCCCATCCTATTCTCACTGCACCTCACCTCAGTCTTGGACCCCAGGGAGCTCCTGTCAGTGGTGGGGTGGTGGCTGGAGCTGTCTCTTTAAGAGCAGGAATGGAATGGGAGCCCTGTGCTTTAGGCAGTCTGACTTGTTCTCTACCTGCCCAGCGTTGCCCAGGTTTGCTTAGGGCGTGGCAGCTGCAGATAAAGGCAGGACTCAGGCGGAACTACACCGTCCACACAGCCTGGGGAGCCAACGGGTGAGCGATGGGGCCCCCTCCCTCCACTGCTCTCTGTTAAAGACCCTAGAACCTCTCCCTTCAAGGTCCTTTTCTGGGGGCGGGAGCAGGAGATTAGAGAAAGTCCTAATGAGATCCTCCTCCCATGATTCTCCTCTGGGGCTGGTGAGCCAATTGGGGAGAGGATAAGGTCTGCAGGTGCGATGGTTGTCTGGATAGATCAGGGGCACCTGGGTGGACCAGGACAGGACTGGGGGCATCTGGGCCAACAGGGGGGTTGGGGGTGCCTGAGCGAATGGAGGTATCTAAGTGGATCATGGATGGTTGTTGGTATCAGAGCAGATAGGGTGACTGGCTAGACTCGAGTGTCTAGGGAGTGGGGTCCTGTCGAGAAAATGGAGCTGGAGGTTCCTGAGGAGATGTAAAATGGGGGGCTGGGTGGGAGATTTCAGGGACGCGAGGAGTCATTCCTCATGCCTGAAAGGCGTGGCCTCCAGCACCATAGAGGGACAGAGGGGAGAACCGAGGGCAGCTGGCGTAGACAGGACCTCTGCGGCCGGGAAGGGGTGGAAAGGGGTGAGCAGAGCCTCAATCTGCAAAGCCGCCTTCCTTTCCAAGCCTCACGCCAGTAACAGTCAGTTCAGGAGCAGCTCAGGGCCTCTTCCAACGATGGCCTGACAGGAAAGGCGAGGGCAGGCCCCCAGACACCAGCACTCAGCCAGGCACAGCTGAGACCATTCCAGTCTCCCCTGGGCTGGGGATGCTGGGTGATGCTCGGGAGGGAGAGTCATGGAGACTTTGCAGCGGGCAGGGGACTCGGAGGATCCCATGGAAAGAGGCGGAAGAGCTGAGACTCAGAGTTGCCGCTGACAGAGTAGTTCACACGGGTTACAGGGTTGCGACAGCCAAGTGGGCTAAGCACAGAGCCACCTTCATCTGCTGTGAAGATTACACGCATGAATGGGTGCACAGGACTGAGAACAGCGTGCCTGGTGAACCTGGATGAGCCAGGCTCTTAGCAGTGCTGTTAGTCCTGGGGCGGCAAAGCCTCACCAGGTCGCTTTCAACAGCAGCAGCCCTTCTACAGGCCTGTCCTGCCCACACACCCTCCCCAGATCCCCCCTAAAACGTTTTGAGCTCCTAAACTCATTAGTAATGCTCCCCCAAACTAGAGGCCCTCTTCCTGAAATCGAAAGCAGCTCAGGTGGGGCTTCCATGGAGGAGCCGAGAAGGAGCGAGATGGGGGTGCTCTCTCCAGTCAAAGGGGCTTTTCACCAGGGTGGGGAGGACATATGTTTTCCCCTCAGGAGACGGGGCAGGTAACAGATGGCCTTCAGGGTTGTCGGGATTAGATGAGTGAAACCCAGCAGGGTCACTGGCAGTGCCCGGCACAGGTGGGTCAGAGGAAGTGTAAGCTCTTGCTGTTAAGGTTATGACAACCGATGCTTTAGCCGTGGGGCAGGGAGAGGGCAGGGGATGCACAGAGACCGGGTGCTTATCTCAGGCACAGAGGATGGTGGGAGGGTAGACTAACCCTAGACCAAGAGGGGACAGAGGCATCCTCTTTGTGCTGAGCAGGGCTCCCTGGGGAAGGAGGAAGATTTGTTGCCAGGAGGAGCTTGGCAGGAGGTGGAGTAGGAGCAGGGCCTGGGACCTGGGTAGAGGCAGAACCAGGAACTGGGGTGGGATGAGCAGGGGCGGGGCAGAAATGGGGGTCAATGGTTAGGGTGGCACAAAAGATGGAGCTGGGGCTGCAGCCAGGCCAATTCTCCCAAGTCTATCCCACCCCACCCCAGCCTTGTCCTCTACCTGCCACACCCAGCCCTGAGTGGCTTGAATCTACAAAGTCTGGGCAAGGCAGGCAGGCTCCAAGCTGTCTATGGGAGACACTCCTAGGAACTGGGCCTCCTGCCACTTGGCTTCTAACACCCCATTTCCCAAAACACCCCGAGGCCCTGAGAATCCTGAGTTAGGGACAGCTGCTGCAAAGCCAACCCTGGTTTAAATCCCACTTCTGACAAGGCACCTATCAGAGCCTCAGTTTCCCAATCTGTAAAATGGGGTTAACCAGAGGCAGCTTCTCTCTTATTTGGTTGCCAGGGTGATTCACTTCAAGCCTCGAGTCCATGTCCAGTGAGTTATTATTGCTGCTCCCCGATCAGGTCTGAGTTCTCACCTAGCACCCACTGCACTCCTCAGCTCTTGTCTCTCAGCCTTCAATGCCAGTCTTCCTACCCTGGGGTGAGGTGTGTACCCTGGGTGGGGCATGGAGTAGGAGGGGATTGGGAACCAGAGGCCCTGGTGGCATCCCTGCAGCTGTGCTAAAGCTGGGCCCTCCCCTCCCGCTTCCAGGCCGGCTCCATCATGCAGCAAGTGGCCCTGAGCCTGCTCCTCCTCCTCCTGGCAGGTGAGTGCTGTTCCCGGAAAGGCCCTTCCCTGAGCTGCTCTGCTGAGCGGCAGGCAAGCCTCACAGTGTCCCCTGTGGGGTGGTGACTGTCAGGATAGCATCTCCTTGAGGGAAGAAGTGTTGTGCTGGTGATTTCAAGAGAACACAAAAATAGGACCCCTCATAGCAGCAGCTCAACCAGCTAGAAAGTCTTGTCTTGATGTCTCCTTGATGACTTCAAGGAAATGCTCAGCCTTTGCTGTGCCCTCATGCCTCCCTAACACTTTATTACGGGGGGAGGGGGGGGGGTAACTGGGAGTTTAGAGGTAATGAAACAAGTTACCAATTGTGCCTCCGTTTCCCTACCTGTAAAATGAGGACAATAACAGCACTTACGTAGAGAGTCACTGTGAGGATGGAAAGAGCTGGCATTTGGAAAGCACTTAAAACAGTGCCTGTACAGAGTAAGCACTATGTACTTGTACTTAAAATATAATTTAAAATTATTAATCTCCCCTTAACAAAGAACGAACAGAGCTTAGGCCCCGGGCTCCGGCAGCCTCCGCTTCTAGCCAGAATTTAGTCCTAGTCCTTTGCTTTCATTGTGTTTGTTTTTCTCTGTTACATCAGGCAAGACTATTCCATGTAGGATGGTGATAGAAGAGGATGTTTTAAATAAAGTGTGCTAAGTTGATAATTAGCAAGTTGCTTTAAAGAGGAGTGGCGAGCAAACATCAGAACAGGTGGGTGGGATGTGGCCGAGCAGGGAGACGAGCTCTGAGGATGACGGAACCGACACCGTCTGTCCTGCGGACGAGAGCATCGCTCTGTTTCTGGAGGAGGCGCGGAGCAGCCAGGGGTCTGGAAACATCGGGCCAAAGGGTGGCCAAGAGCTGCCCAGGTTAAAACCTAGTTCAGGAGGCAAAATGCTGGCGTGGCTCGCAGGTGTGGGGTGATGGAGGGTCCACACCTCCGAGATGGGACGTGCTAGTCTGGGGCTGGACCCCTGCACTCTCGGGAGGCAGGCCTGTCCATCGGGGGCCTTTCTCCAAGCCCCTGGCCCTGCCAGCTTCACTGAGACCAGCACCCATGTCCTCTCCTTCCTGCTTCTCCCGCCAGGCCTGCCTGCCCTGGACGCCAACGACCCGGAAGGTAAGTCAGACTGTGCTCTTCTACCAGCCTCCCCGCCCGCACCCCCCCCCCCCCAAAAAAAATTCCCCCTGGGCCCCCTGTATTCCAGCTCTGCTCCTGGATTTATGTTCTTTTTTCTTTCCTTTCAGATAAAAACAGTCCATTTTACTATGGTAAGAGCTGGTGCCCCTCCCTTCGCTCCTCCTACCCCACCCTCATACTGTTTTGTGCCGAAGGCCCCACACAGTGTTGGCTGAGGGTCTGCTGTGGGTGGAAAGGGGGCAAGGACAGGATTGGACCAGGACATTGGCCAGTAGCCACAGTGGATTCAGGGAACAAGACAGGCCAGCCTGGGCCTCGGGAAGGTGCATGACTACCCAGCAAGGACAGTTTACGAGAAGCAGGGACAGTTACGAGAAGCCACTGTTATGTTCAAATCCAGTCTGGGAGAGGTTTGACTTGACAAAACTTCCTGGAGGAGCTGTGCCATTAGACCCAAACCTCCGTGGCCTCCAGATTCCACATGACCTGCTCCGTGTCCCTCCTCCGTCCTCCCTCCCCCATCGCTGCTTCTGCTCCGGCCACAGTGGCCTCTCTGCTGTGGCGCAGACTCACAGGTGCACTCCCTGCCTCCGATCTGTGTCCTTCCTGACCCCTCTGCCTGGATACTTTCTCCCACACGCCACAGGCTCCCTCCCTCCTCCTCCCACATCTCTGCTCCAGTGGGCCCCGCAGAGAGGCCTTCCCTGGCCACTCTCCCTAAAAGAGCTGCCCCTGGCTCTGCTTCCTTGTCTTCAGACCATGTCTCTCCATCTGACCCTCCATGAGATCTGTGTCGCTTGCCTGCGTGTTAACTAGGTATGAGCAGAGGAGGGCTGGGCTTGTTCTCTGCACAGCTGTATCCCAGCGCCCAGCACAGCATCGGTGCCCAGTCATCCTTGTTAAGTGGGTGGGGGCTTGGATGAGGAGGACACTGGCTGGCTGACACTGAGGGCCCCCTCTGGGTTTCTCCTAGACTGGCATAGCCTCCGAGTTGGAGGACTCATCTGTGCAGGGATTCTGTGCGCCATCGGCATCATCGTCGTCATGAGTAAGTGGGGGAGCTGCCAGGGAGTGGGGAGGGCATGGCTGTGGGTCCCCTCTCCTGACCATTCCCCTCTCCCCAACAGGTGGGAAATGCAAGTGCAAGTTCAGCCAGAAGCCCAGGTGAGCCGGATTCCCAGTGTGTGCCTACCTTGTGCTGGACAGACACCTTCCAGGGGTGAAACCTTGCAGAAAGGCCCGGTGGCCAGGCTCTGCCCTGGAGATTCCCGCCACTAAGAAAGACTTCCTAGGTTTATTCTTCGGAGCTGAAAATCCCCAAAGGGCCCCAAATCTTGAAATGCTTGGGACCCTCGGGTGGTACAACTCTATGATGGGAAAGAAGCCAGGAAGCTAGGCTAAGGAAAGCTGAGAGTCTTCTAGTCTTGAGGGTGAGGACAAAGAGGCAAACACAGAGCTCACCACTTTTCTTTTCCTAGCCACCGACCAGGGGACATCCCACCTCTCGTCACGCCAGGTAAGACAGGAACAGATGGGGCTAAGGAGTACACGGATGTGGCGTGACGAGCCTCCCCACACTTCTAGGTGTGTGTGTGTGTGTGTGTGTGTGTGTGTGTGTGTACTCTGGGGACTAAAATCTCCATCCAGTCTCACAAGCTGACCCTATCACCTCTCCCAGGCTCTGCTCATAACTGTTGAGGATGGATCCATGAAAGAACACAGAGGGCCTCTCTCTTTCCCCATGTCCTGGTCTGCATAGGAACCTAACTCCAGGATGGAATCCCCTCCTCTCCTCAGACCGCCTTTCCAGACCCCATCTCACTTTCACTGTAAGGGTCTCTTTGTTCAATATTTGATCTAAAGTGAGCTTGCCTCCTGCCCAAGCAGTTGAGACTCTGTATGTGTACTTGGGTAAGATTTGCGGTGGACACGCTTTGGAAGCTGCCACAGAAGCTGGCAGCTGAATCTCTTTGTTGCGAAAAGCCCAAAGGCCTATTCCCTCGGGAACTGGCGAATGGCATGGGGTTTGTCCTCTGCTGCTATGGCCATGGGAGCCACATATGCAATTTAACATTTTCTAGTTCAAATGGGGGACATTTTTGAGAGTGAAAGGGAGCTGTAACCAGAGGAAATGCTGGGATACTCGGCTGGACAGTGGGATCATCCTACCAGGATATGAGGACCCAGATAGCTTATGATTGTAATAGTAAGACCCCTTAAGGCTCACTCACTGCTGTGACCCCAATTTATTACACAAGACCCTTCCTAATACCCAATGTCTCCGTGAGGCTTTTACGTAATTGCCCATGATAACCCTAATAATATATGATGGCCACCTGGTGTGAGAGCCTCCAATGAGCCTCAAAATTCCTTGAGACTCCCCAAAACCCAATAAGACCTCAAAATGTCCTCAAGAGGCACCCCTAAGATGCCTAAAAACCTTCAAAACATCCAAAAAGAGACCCCCCCCAGGAAGAGACCCACAAGAAACCTGTGTCCTGTCCCTAATAAAGCCCTTATATCCCTTGAACATCCCCCACAATCATGAACCCACACTCCTTAGACAAGTCCAAAAGCTTACCAGAGTATGCCAACATGCTCCCCTGGGACCTCCCCCTCTAAAACACTGCTCCTGGGACACTGCCCGCCTCAACCCCCCTTTTCACTCAGGGGACACCCTCTCCCACTGATCCCACAACAACAGCTGGGGCGGGCTCACAGCACATTTATTGAGCTCACACACCTTCGCCTTCACCTCAGTCACTCACTGGAAAGGAGTACGCAGGGCTCCCCGCAAAAACTCTCGCTCTCCCTCCCATTTCCCTCACACAGCAAGGCCGTGCTGGGCTTCCGCCTTGGCAGCAGGCATGCGCACAAGCAACAGAGGAAGTTAGCAAGCCTGGCAGGAAAACCTGCCCAGCAACTGGTAACGTCATGGAGGCCTGCACTAAAAGCGATTGGCCAGATTGAGTTTAGTGGGGAGAGGAAAGCCGTCTCCTCCTGGGTACTTGCACAGGGAGCTGGAGTAGGAGGGATGGGTTGAGGGGAGGGGGGTGCTTCCAGGCCTCATGGAGCTCTGCACATTACTCCACCATGACTTCTGGATTCCAGTTCCGTGCCCCAGTCTGAGCGCCCAGACAAGATGTTGCTTAAGATTGGAGGGCAGTTCTTGCCTTGAACTTGGCCTGTGGCCAGTATCTCATAGGACCAGCCATAACCCCAAGTGGGGCCGAGAGGTCAGTCAAGGAGGTGTCCAGAGGCCTAAAACTTCCCATGCCAGCCCCCTCACCAGCCATGCCCAGGATCCCATCCAGTGTCAGGCACTGAGGTCTAACTCGTGAAGCTGGTAGATCTGTGTGGGGCCCTTGAAGCAAGCAGCAAAGAGGAAGTGTCTGCCAGCCATGGCGATGTGGGCAAAGGCCCGGGGGGCCACCAAGGCTGGGGGCCCCAGTTCCTGCAATGGTTCCAGGAGCCCCTTGTCAGGCTCAAGGTGGAAGACCTGGCTGAAGGCGAAGTCACTGCCCAGGATAGCCAGCTGGTCCCTGGCTATGAGCAGTGGCTGGAAGACGTGGGCACCACGTGAAGGAAGTTGCTGCAGCAGGCGGAACATGGAACCATCCCAGCGCATGACCTGTGAAGTGTGGCGGCTGGTTAGGACTGGGATCCAAGGGGGCCAGGCCTGTTGATAGTCCTCTAGGCTTCAGAGGACTCGGAACAGCTTGTAAGTTGAGGCCTGCAGGTCCCTAAACTCCTGTAGCTTTCTTTAAAAATGTCATCACCCAGCCGCTCAGGCCACATTCTTGGCCCTTCTTTCTCCCCCGCACGCCCCCTCCCTCCCCCCACTACCAACATAGAACCCATCAGTAATGGAATCTGTCAGTTTTACCTACTATGCTATATATTGCTCCAATCTCCTCTGGCCGCACTCCAAACCAGCTATAGTCGCCTTTTCCCTGGTCACCTACTCCTGTCCTTGTGCCCACAGTTTGCTCCCCACAGAGACACTCTGTGAACTGAATCAGAGCAGTGACTTCTAGGCTCAGACTCTCTCCCTGGGTACACCTTTCTCTAAAAAGAGTGCTGGAGGGTGTGGGCACCAGCGCTGGGGACTCAGAGGGTGATGCTGTGGTTAAATGTCAGTCCTGGAGTGAGTCAGAGTTACAGAGCCAGGGTTTGGGGTTAGAATCAGAGTCTTGGGGCCAGTGTCTATGTTGGGGAATGGGAGTAGTTTAGGGTTAGCAATGCCTTGAAGGGTCACAGTCTTGAAGTCAGTGTTGGATTGGGGTCAGAATTCAAGGGTCAACACATTAGATGGGGTTGGAGTTTGAAGATCAGCCGGTGAGCTTGGGGCAGAGCTTAGAGGGCAGTGTGCAAAGTGGGGTCGATGCTGAAAGCCCGGCCCAGATTGGGTGGTCCCCACTGAAAAGACAGGCCTGAGTAGGAGTCAACTGCAGGTCAGAGGTGGCCTGTGGCCTCTGCTCCCACCTCTACCTGGTCGGGCCCAGGCTTACCAGGGAGTCCCCGATGTAGCGTGTCAGGCACAGGAACACATCCCCACTGGCCTGGAAGTGGCGTGTGGCGTAGACGTCCTCAGCCTCGGGGATGTCCGTGCGCCTCTCGAAGCGGCCCCCGAACCAGTGGAAGAGCACGGGCCGCTGTGAGGCGGAGGCCAGCAGCAGGTGAGGCCGGCCGTCCAGCTCCAAGGCCTCCGCGTCCGTGTCCCGGTGCCAGGCGTGGAGGCTCTGGCGTGGGTAAAAGCCAGGCCCGTCGCGGCACAGCAGGGTGGTGCTGCCTGCCTTGGAGGCATCGGCCACCACGAAGCAGGGCTGCCCATCCAGCCACAGGAGCTCAGCGTCATTGGGCCTCAGCAGACGCTTTGGGGCCAGGGCCTGGGTCGGGGCCAGGCGCAGGCCGGGACCGGGCCGAGCCCACAGCTGCGAGCCTCCCCACAGGCGGGCGGCCAGCACGAAGAGGCGCAGGCCCAGCACCAGGGGCTTGCAGGACACCACTGAGGGAGCTGTGGGGGAGTCAGGGAGCAAGAGGCAGATCAGGCCAGCTGGGCAGGGCAGCCCCCAGCCCCTGCCCCCCGCAGGCAGGAAGATGAGAGGGGGAGCTCACCAGACAGCTCTTCCTCAAGCCGGAAGCGCTGCAGGCCATAGTCCCAGGAAAGAATCAGGCAGCGGCCAGCAAAGGGTTGTGCCAGGACCATGTGAGGTTCCCCCTGGTAGGAGAAAGGCTCCACGCCCAGCGCCGACTCCCCAACCGTCTGGAACCGGGACAGCTCTGGGGATGGCAGGAGAAAGTCAGGCAGGCCCGGGAGACCCCAAAGGCCTTCATCGCTGAGCCTCGGTTTGCACATCTCTGAAATGAGGACCGTCATGGTGTTCATCTCATAGGTACATAGAGTGGAATCTTTTTAATCTATAGCTGTATTAGTTCAAAACAACATGATAATACTTTATTTTCTAAGCTTGGTGGCATCATCAAACAACTGCTTAGAAACAGCATGTTTAATTCATTTAACTTCACAAAATCCCAATGAGGTACATCCCACTGTTATATCCACTTTACGGATGAGGAAACTAAGGTTAAGAGACACAGGCAGCCAGTTGTCCAGCAAAACCCATCCTTCGCATTTTCCATGAAATAGGACTGGAGGTGGGCACCGCCTGCCCAGCTAGAGGCCACATCACCCCAGCACCCGCTCAGGAGCCCCTCCTGAAGTTAGGTGTGGCCATGTCCAAACCAGGTTTCCAATGGAACAAGAGCAGAGTGGTGGCTGCAATGCTTGCCTCAGCGTATGAAGGTGGCTCACCCTGGACTTGGTCTCCTTCCCCTTAGACCTGGCAGATGGACGTGCTACAAGTCAGTGTCAACCATGAAAACCAGGACAACACCCAGATGTGCTGGGAGTGCACATCGCAGGCCCTCTGTCTTCTTTAACTCAGGGTGTTTTGAATCTCTTTGCTACAACTTAGCTTTTATGGTAACAGTGCACCCAGGTTGCCCAGCAGAGTGGTGGTGGAACTGAGCAGTTGACTCCGGGTGATACTGCTTCACTCGATATGCCAGGCCTGTTTCTAAGTGCCAGGATTGCAGCACTGACCCAAACTAACCAGGATGCCCACCCAAAGGGGGATCTTTTAAAATGTCCATCAAATTATCACTCCCTGCTCAAGACCCACCATGGCTTCCCACAGCCTCGGAGAAACCCACGCTCCTCTCCGTTGCTCTCAGTGCCCTGTACAGTGAGACTCCTGCACCTTTGACCTCATGTGTCCTTCCTTTCACTCACTCTCCCAAACCAACCCTGCCTTCCCTTGATCCCCAAGCAGGACAGGCTCTGTGCTGCCTCAGGGCCATTGCATATACACCCCCCTCTCTGCAATGTCCTTCCCTCTAACCTCAGGTAGCTACATCCAGATCTAATGCCATCTCTTTAGAAACTCTTATCAGATGCCCATGTAAGGTAGGACCCCCCCTTAATTTTCCTCGTCACTCCCTGTGTTTATCACAATATGTAACATACATCTATTTGTGCAATGTTTTGTTTAATGTTTGTCTCTCCCTTCCTCCCCACAGAACTGCGAGGCCAGGGCCCAGAGTTACCTTGGTCACCACAGTGTGCCATTGCCTTTCATAGGGCCAGGCACAGAGTGGGCCTCGGTGGATATTTGTTAAATAACTTAATAAAAAATGACCCTTGCCCTAGCCTGTTTGGCTCAGTGGATAGAGTGTCGGCCTGTGGACTGAAGGGTCCCAGGTTTGATTCCCGTCAAGGGCACGTGCCAGGGTTGCGGGCTTAATCCCCAGTAGGGGGTGTGCAGGAGGCAGCCGATCAGTGATTCTCTCTCATCATTGATATTTCTATCTCTCCCTCTCCTTTCCTCTCTTAAATCAATAAAGAAATAAATTTTATATATATAAATATATATATATATTATATTTAATATATATATTAAATGACCCTTAAGTTAAATTATCTTCTATGAGTCTGACAAACCTAAAACATGTCACATTTAGAAGTGATGATGATAATAATATTTATTATTATATTAATAGCCTTCAGATTTGAACTCAAATGCCCATTCCTTCAGGAGTATCTGACTCTTGCTCTGACTCTGGGCTCCCATAGCCCCGGGGGCTCCCCACCTCCCAGCCCTGACCTCTCTGTGCTTCCCCGACCCTGGCCCTGATCATTCCAGGCTCTGCTGTCCTCTGGACTGTGGGCTCTATGAGGACAAGGCCTGGGACCTTTTCATCACTGCTGTGCTTTCTGCATTGCCCAGTACCCATAACGGCACCAACATATGTTTATGGAAAAGCAAAATGGTCATAGGAAGCATTTTAGAAATGGCCATTTTTATATTAATAAGAGTAGCAAGAATGAACATTTATAAGGGCCTCCCATTCCAGGCTCTGTGCCAAATGTTACACAGGCGTGGATACATCACTGAATTCTCACAGCAATCCCGTCACTGTTCATTACCTCCATTTTACAATGAGGAACCTGAGGGTCAGGGAGGTGATGCTGCTTGCTCAGAGTCTCACAGCCAGGAAATGGCAGGAAGCAGGAAGCGAGGTGAACCCCTCAGCCCGGGCCTCTGTCCCCCTGATCTCCCGCCTTCTTCTGGGAACCCCTGCTGTCCCTCCCACCCCACAGGGAAAGCCCCCACCTATGGTTCTGCACTTGAACGTCTTGGGGTTGAGAAGGCGGAGCTGCATGTGGGCCAGGGCGGTGGGGCCGGCGCAGGCCCCGGTACCCACGCTGGCGTTCACGCTGGGGATCCACTGCAGCAGCCAGAGGACACGGCAGTCACACTGGAACGGGTTCCCACGGAGGTCCCTGGGGCAAGAGGCCGGGGAGGGGCTGCGACCCGGCTTCCACATCCGGAGGCCACACTCCCCACCCCTCCCCAGGTAAGAGTTCAGGATGGAGCCCCACAGGTGGTGTGAGAAATATGCATCATTGCAGCCATACACATTGTGCCTACCAAAAGTGGGCACAGATATCCTCTCCCTCCTCAAACCTTCTCACCCTCCCCACGCAGCCCCCTTGAGCCTCACACATGAGTCAGGGTCTCCAGGCCTCGGAACAGGAATCTGGGGAGGGCCTCCAGATGGTTATTGGCCAGGCTCCTGGTGGAAGGAAAGAAAGAGGAGGAACCATCAGCAGCTACGAGGACAGCCTATGCTCTGGATGATGGGGTGTGGGGTGCCTGCCAGGGTGGGCTGGGCAGTGGAGGGGTGAGGCCTTGGAGGCACATACAGATGTGTGAGTGAGCGAAGTCCTCTGAGAGCATTCTTAGAGATGGAGCCAATTTTATTGTCCTCGATGAAGCTGTGGAGGGAAAGGGTGGTAAGGGGGAGACCCTCATTTTTTGCTTTGGCCTCACAGTTTTTAGGGAAACTCACCCCATGGAAGCCATACACCACTGGAATCTGCTGAGTTCTCCCCAACACTTGGCATAATCCCAGGGGAAGCCTCCTCAGAAACCTCTTCTCACCAAGGTGCCAGCCTACAATCCTGGGGGCCAAGAACCTGACCCTGTGGTCATTACCAGCCTCACAGTGAACACTGCCACCCACCCCCCACTGCCACTGTGATCACCAATATCAGCACCAGTATCACTACCAATACCTCCACGATTATCCATTGTGACCAATACCCATGCCTCTGCCATTGTCATCAACCCCAGTATGAATGACTGCATTTATCACCAACACCATACTGTGCCACCACTGTCACTGATACTGCCACCCTCATCACCAACACAACATCACCACCTACTTCCACAACACCATCATTACCAACTCTGACAGCAGCAACACTAATAAGCATCACCAACAATACAGCCGTCATGATCAACACCAAATGACTGCCACCATCATCACCAACACTGCCACCATTATGACAAGCATTAGCTCTAGCACCAGCATTGCCAACATCACCATTATCCCCCACACTCACCCGTAGCACCACTACTGCAACACTCCATCACCACCAAACCAATACCAACAACATTTTCATTACATCAACACCGACACCAACATCCTACCCACAGGCATCACCCACACCAACACCAGCACTAACACCAACACTAATACTGGAATCACCAGAGTCCTCTGCACTGATAATTATCCTACCACCAACCCCTCAAACTTCATCATCAGTATCACCATTGGGTCCGCCATTTTTATCAGCATCATCCGCACCCCATCATCCTCAATAATGCCACTGCCTCCTTGTGAGCAGCAGCAGCAAGATCACCACCAACACCAGCATCACCAATACCAGCTTTGACATACTGTCGTCACCACCATCACCATCACCACAACCGCTACCATCACTACCAACTCAGAGTTGTTTCCTATTAATTTGAAACATTTCCTGTCTCCGGCCTCTGTGCACTCTCCCTGGGTGTCCATAAGTCAGGTAGGGCCAGAAATAGTCTCAGGTTTCCAGGCTTTTTGTGGATCTTCAACACAGAGAAGTGGGGTGAGTAGGCTGAGATGCCACAGCTGAGCAGGAATCCTGACCCCACTCAAGCAGCCAGGCTCTTTGCCCCCCAAGGAGGGATCCTTGTCCAGATATTTCCTCCCCAGGGCAACCAGCCCCTCCCTCCCCCTACTCTGGGAGCACCGAGGGGCCCCTCCTTCCTTTCCCAGGTCCCCATTCTGGCCCAACCACTGGCCACACTCACAGGTATTGCAGGTGGGACAGGCCCGCAAATGCATCATCCTCAATCACCGAGAAGGAGTTGAATGTGAAGAGGCTGGCAAGGGAGCAAGAAAGAAAATTTTCCAGAATTGCTGCCCCCTATCTGACATTTTAACCTTGACCCCCACCCTCAGCCCACATGGGCATGGTTTCACACACACACACACACACACACACACACACACACACACACACACACACACACAACACACATATGCACATAGCCCCACACGCATGTGCATGAGCACCCACTCCCTTGAGCTGGTTGTCAGCTCTGCTGGGCCCCACTCACAGCAGGTGCAGTGACGGCACCCTCAGGAAGCCGCCGGCCTTCAGCTGGGTAACTCCAATCCTGACGAGTGAGCTGGGGACAAGGCGATTGTGGGTGAGGAGGAACCCACTGCAGTGCCCCACTCCCATCCCAGTCACCTCCTGCGGGGACCTGGCATGCCACCGTGGCCCAGGTGTCTCTCCCCTAGGTCTTCGCAGGGAGACAGGCATTTGCTCGCCTCACTTGGCAAGGATCCTGGTGGCTCTCAGCCCACGCCCTGGCTATCCCTCCTCCCAGGCCCCTAGTGCTGATGCTGCCCTTTGGCATTTCCCTTCGACTCCCCTTCAAATCCAGCAGCCCCCTTTTAGGCATCCCAACATCCTTTGCTGCCCATCTTCCAAGATCCTGACACCCTGTTTCCTTGGCACCCTACCCCCGACCTCTGGGGTACCAGGACTCCCATCCCCACCCTCAGGCCCCCAAAGGGCCTGACACTCACAGTGACAGCAGGGTCGGGGAGAAGCTCTCGGGCAGGTCCGGGGAGCCTTCACACAGGGCACTGTCTTTGGAGCAGGAGCAGCTCAGAGGGCATTTTCCCTTTGGGGGTCTCCAGGCTGCCCCGGCCCCCACCTCAGCCAGCAGCAGCAGCAGCAGCAAAATGCCTGCCCCTCCCATGCCCCCTCACCCCTGCGGAGGCACCAGCTCCCCTCTGCCCACCCAGCTCTGCCCAGGCTTCGGCCACTACATCTCCCATGCCAGGCAACCCTCCATTCCGCCAGCTGGCACACTCTGCCCTGGCTTCTCTCTCTTCTTTCTGTTCTCTCTTTCAGTCTGTCTTTCTCCCTGTATCTCTTTGGAGCCCAATTTTCTGTTTATTTCTATTTCCCTGTCCTTCTTCCTGTCTCTCTCTCTCTCTTTCTGTTCTTCTGACTCAGTGAGTTAGCCTATTTCTCTGCTCTGACTCTATTTCTGTCTTTTTCTTTTTTCTCTCTCTGTGTCTGTCTCAGTCTGTTGGCCTTTCTCTCTGTGTGGTGTGGTGGTGATGGTGGTGATGTGTGTGTGTGTGTGTGTGTGTGTGTGTGTGTGTGTGTGTGTGTGTTTCCTTCTGTCTGTCTTTATTTCTTGTCTCTCAACCCCCCTTTCCAGCTCTCTGTGTGTTTCTTCCCTCCTCCCACACTCCTTCTCCCTGGGGGTTTGGGAAAGGGACACAATGGGCACCGGGTGTGCCCAAAAAGCAGGGTAAGAATGAGGAGGGGGATCAGAGGCCATAGGAAGAGCAGCTCTGGGGAAGGGACTGGATAGACCCATGGGAGGGGAGGGGCCACCAAGGGCTGGAGCCTCCCTGGCCACTCCCAGGCAGCCTCCCTCTCCCTGCCCCGCCCAGATTCCCCACTCAGGGAATGTGAGGAGGATGCCACCAGGGTGGGGACCAGATGGCTCTGCAGGTAGGAAGGTGAGGAGAGACCTCTGAGGGCTGGCGTCACCCTATTCCCTCCAGAGGGCCCCCTCCCCAGGCTTCAGGAGGGTGCAGTGGACTCTGTTGACAAACTTGGAGGGGCCAGTTCAGGTCCAGCTGCTCCCTCTGGTGGCCATACTTGGCAGGACATTGCTCAGCTCAAAATTAACCCCTTGAGTGTTCACCTCCTACTGGGGGCAGGGAGTTAACCCAGGAAAAAATGATGATGATGCCACCCCCTTCTTCAGCGTTGGCTCTGCACCAGGCCCTGTCCTGACGGCTGGTCTATTAGCTCCTCCGACCTCTTCACAACCTTCTGAGGCTGATACTATTGCAGGGCTATCGTACAGAGGGACATGCTGAGGAGAGAAGTCCGGTCGTTGGAGGTCTGGGTTACCCGGGGAGGGCGGAGGCAGGACTGAGCCCAGGCGCCAGCTCCAGAGCCTCTCCACATGCTCTTGCATTCTTTCTTTGGAGATCAGAACTCATGGGTAGTGGTTATTTTTATTTGGACTAAGCTTTTAGCAATTTGGATAGATTCTGTCCATTAAATAGGAAAAATAAATAAATGGCATTTGTTACCAAATCCCAAATAACAGTAATAATACTTACTGAGCACTTACTGTGTGCCTGTCTCTACATAAAATTTCTCAGTCCTCACAACAACCCTGTGAGGTGTGTAATATTACTAGTTCTGACTTTACAGATAGGGCAACTGAGGCACAAGGAGTGTAAATGATTTGTTTCATGGCACTGGATAGATCTAAACCTAACCACTCCCCCGCCACTGCGTAAACACACAACCTCTCTCCTCCTGCTGCACACATCCAGAAAACTTGGGGAACAAAGGGCTAAACGCTCAGGCAGGATCACATATATCTGGATTCCAGGCTCAGTTCTGTGTGGATTTAGGCAAATAAATCATTCAGCCTCCCTGATCCTCAGTTTTCCCACCTCTCAAATGGGACAATCATGCACCTACTTCCCAGGTGTGTAGAACATTGAGTGAGACAATAGAGGCAATGCCACTGTGCAGGGTGGGCATTGCCCAGTGGCTGGTGGGCTTGGGGTGGGCCCTGGGCCTAAGTGCATACCTCCACCCAAACAGCTGTGCGATTTGAGCAAGGCCCTTGGGCCTTGGTTACCTGAGCTATAAAGGAGGGATATTAAAATTCCTTGCAGGGCCTTTACAAAGATAAAGGACTTAGTGCCAGGGTACAGAGGGGGCACTCACAGCATGCCCAGCCCAGCAAGGACGATGATCATGGCCACTTATTGTGTGCCAGGCTTTGTTCTAAATGTTTTACATGGATCATTTCTTCCTTTTTTTCCCCCTCAAATATATTTTATTGATTTTTTACAGAGAGGAAGGGAGAGAGATAGAGAGTTAGAAACATCGATGAGAGAGAAACATCGATCAGCTGCCTCCTGCACACCTCCTACTGGGGATGTGCCCACAACCAAGGTACATGCCCTTGACCTGAATCGAACCTGGGACCCTTCAGTCCGCAGGCTGGCACTCTGTACACTGAGCCAAACCGGTCAGGGCCACACGGATCATTTCTGATAATCATTCCAACCACCCTGTAAGGTGAATACTGTTATTATCTCCATTTTACAGAAGAAGAAACTGAGCCACAGAGAGGTTAAGTCATGTGCCCAGCATCACACAGCTAGGAAGTGGCTGAGCCACTCTAATCTGGAGCAGTTGGCCCTAAGAGGGGAGGAAGCTAAGGATTGGCTAGAGCTGGCCAGGTGCCCCTCTCCAGGCTCACCCCCTTGCTCCCTGTCACCCCTCCCCAGTGCTGCATAAACATCAGGGTTATCATTAACCAGGAACTGCTGGTGACCCTGGGGTGCAGGCCCAGGGTGAGCAGAGGCTAAAGGCTCAGAAAGATGGGGATGAGGGAGCCTTTCGAAGCTCTGCAGGTCCTCTGAGGCTGTGTGCACACATGTATGTGTGTGCCAGGGCTATGCCGGTGCCGAGTGTGCGTATGCACACTTCCCCTGACCCTGTGTCCTGCAGAGCCTGAGGTCTGGGCCTGCTTCTGACCTTTGGCTGAAAGGGGAGCAGTTCCTGCCCTTAACCACCAGGGGGACCCCCGGAGAACTACTAGTAGCTCCACTTTGCTCAGCCTAGGTTTGCTCATCTCTAAAATGGGGTTAATAATAAGACAATGTCTGGCCAGAGACTTCTGAGCTTGGCCTGAGGTTACAGTCTGACCTCAGTTATTTCTCCATTTTATAGGATGGGAAGCTGAGGAACAGAGCGGTCAGATGGACTGCTCAAGTTCACACAACCAGGAATGGCAGAGTCTAGACCTGAGCCCAGATTTCTCTGCCACCAGTGTCTTGTGAATTTGGCCTGCCTATGGGGACGCCAGCTGTGGTGTCCTCCAGGAGATCCGAGAGGCCACATGAGCTCAGGGAAGGGGAAGTTCAGGGTTAAATACGTCAACTCATGTTTGATGGTGTCAGTGTGTGAACAAAAGCATGTAGGCCTATTATGTCTGTGACAGTGTGGCCAGCTGTGTGCTTGTTTGCCTGTGCATGAGGTTGTGCTCACAGGTGGTGTGTGTCTGTCTCTGTGGTTATGTGTAAGAGTGGCTGCTTGTCTGGCTGTGTCCTTGACAGTGTTTCTGCTTCTCTGTGTGCCAATGTAAATGTGTGTGTGTCTGTGGGCATGTGTACACAACTTTGTGGACTTCAGATCTCTGAGAGCTTATAGGCGTGCTGGCTGTGGGCCTATGTCTTTGAGTGTATTTCTGTGCGGCACGTGTGCATTTGTGTGTCAGGATGTCTCCATAAGAGTGTGTATCTTGCCCTGACCGGTTTGGCTCAGTGGATAGAGCGTCAGCCTGCGGACTGAAGGGTCCCGGGTTCGATTCTGGTCAAGGGCATGTACCTTGGTTGTGGGCATATCCCCAGTGGTGGTTGTGCAGGAGGCAGCTGATCGATGTTTCTCTCTCATTGATGTTTCTAACTCTCTATCCCACTCCCTTCCTCTCTGTAAAAAATCAATAAAGTATATTTTTTAAAAAAAAGGAAAAAGAAAGAAAGAAATAATCCCTTGCCTAGTTTTTTTTTTTTTTAAAAAGAGTGTATCTTTGTGACCGTTTGTAAGCGGGGCTAGGGTGGGCTGTGTCTTTGATTGTGCCTATGTACAGGTATACATCTGAATGAACATGGGTGAGCAAATGTGTTTGTCTTGGTGTTTTGTGACTGGTGTAAGAGGTGCTGGTTGTGTGTGTGTCTTTGGGTTTCTCTATGAGTGTGTTATTCTGTGTGTGTCTGCCTGTTTGTATGTACACACATACATGTGTTTGTGTGCTTTTTTGCCTGTTTATCTGGGTCTGTGGGTTTCTCTGTGTGTGCGCACAGGCACATTCCTGAGGGACTAAACAGTCAGCAGTGATCAACACGTACACACACTGAAATGTCCCCCCAACAGTCCTGTGCTGCTTGCTGACCGGGGCTCCGAAGAACACTGGAGTCTGGGTCAGTGGGCTCCTCAACACTCAGGCTAGGTGGCCTTCGGCTCCATCTAAACCAAATTCCCAGGGAACAGCACAGAAAATGACTGACACCCCTCAGTCCAGCTCAGAAGCTGTCTGAGACAGGCCTGAGGCATGTGCGTGTGCGTGTGCGTGTGCGTGTCTGCAATCCAGTCCTCTCTGCCAGGACCTCCTTCCTCCAGCTTTCCGAAACGTGGCTGTCTACTGTTCCTCTATCTGAGCGGAGAGAGTTAACTTAGCGGGCCAGGGCGGTCTGGGCTGGGGGCCGCCCCCTGGCCCCCCTCCAGCACCAGCTCCAGTTACAGCTGCTGGTTGGGGAGGGCATACTGGGGTGGGGCTGGGAGGGGAGATCGCTGGGGGCGGTGCATCCAGCTCTGGGCCAGGGGGTCCAAAGTGCTTGCCCGGTCACAGCCAGACTTGGGGGCCTGCTTCCAGCAGGGGACAGCCTGATTGGGGTGAGCGTCCCCTACCCCTCCCCTCCCGGCCTCACCCCTCGCCTAGCTGGGCAGCCTATTTTGGGAGCAGGAGTGGCCAGTCCCTGGCTTCCCAGGCAGGCCAAACCTAAGAGAAATGCAGTATGTTTGGGACACTGGCTTGTCCCGGGGGTGGGACTATGGGTGCCACTTCTCCCTTCCTTGCTGTTGCCCCCTGGCTGGTGTGGGTTATGGACATTTATGTGTGTATGTTGGGTTGCGTCACTGTTTGGGTGCACTGGAGGCCTAGATGAGGGGTAATATATGCCTGACTGTGTCTCCACCCCATATCCTTCTCCAACTGGAAGTGTAGGGGTACCGGACTGGTGCCGTATCCATTTCAGCCCCAGTGTGTGTGTGTGTGTGTGTGTGTGTGTGTGTGTGCGTGCGCGCGAGCTCCCCTGCCCCTGGCATCTGTCTTTGACCTCATGTCACTTGCCTGGTGTTGTCCGCTTGTGAAAGATGTCACCCAGAGGTGGGTGGAGGGGATATTTTTCCCTTTTCTCATTGTTCCCAGAAGAGGAGAAGGGGTGGCCTTTTCCCCAGCAGGATTGTGCCTGACCCCAAGGAGGGGAAGGAAGGCTGTTGCCATGGTGGCCTGTACGAGGCAAATTCCTCCAGAGTGAAGTGGGAGATATTTATACCCAGGGTCAGGCAGAGAGCGGCTGTCAGGGCCAGGGCAGCAGAGCTGGGATATTTCAGACACAGCACGGCCATGGTGGGCAGATGGGCCCTTGGCATTGTTTGTCCCTTGCAGTGTATATGTCTGTCCATCTGGGTGGAGTGAGGCCTCCTGCTCTCCACTGGAGTGGGTGGGGGAATCTGCGGCCTGCTGTGGGGATGCCCAGCCCGCAGAAGATCCCCGTGGGCGGTGTGTGTTTCACCCCCATCCTTGTGGCCATGTGACCCCATTTTGTGGGTTGATTTGGTGACACTGTGTCCTGTGGAGCAGGGGGTGCCCCTGTTACTCAAGGTGCATGCCAAATGCTTTTGGAATTAAGTCCCTCTCTGACTTAACCCCTTGGGTTCAGGCCCCAGTGGTAGGGGAACAAGAGTACACATTTCCTAACTCTTGGTGTCTCCCAGGACAATGGCATCTCTCGACCACATCTTGGTTCTCTGTGTGAGTCTCCTAGCCATGGCTAGAGCAGGTGAGTCTGGGGAGGCAGCCCACTACCCACCTCAGACCCAGGGTGGCAGGAGTTGGGGAAACCCTGCTAGAGAACCAATTTGGAGACTCCAACCTAAACTGAGTCAGTTGGGGCACTGGGAAAGTGGGGGTCTCACATGGGGTCCAGTAACAGGCTAGTACGTGGGGGAGGAGGGAGGGTGCCCAGGTCAGGCAAAGGGTGGGATGGTGGCTGGCTTCCCCAGGATGATGGGATCAGAGACAACCTGTAATGAGATGGGAGCGGGAACAGTTAGGTGTGCCTTACCCCACCCAGGGCAGTGCAGAGAAGGTAGCTAAGACCCAGAGAGGGCGGGTAGCTTGCTCAGGGTCCAACTGTTCCCCAACTCTCAGCCCAGGAAGGTAGAGCCCCCAAAAGAGTCTGTTTATGCCCTTCCTTGTCCAAGGAGCCCAGGAAGCATCCAACCCCTGATTTCTCTTTCTCTTTCCAGAAGCTCCACAGGAACATGACCCATTCACCTACGGTGAGGGAGGGGGAGCGTCTGTCTTTGGGAATTGGGGTAGGGGGGCTGGGTTTGCCTGTCTTGTCCTCATTCTCTCTCTCATTCTCTCTCTCTCTCTCTCTCTCTCTCTCTCTCTCTCTCTCTCTCTGCCTCTGTCTCTCTATTTGATCCCTCTCTGTTTCTCTGCTTCTCTTTCTCCTTTTACTTCTCAGTATCTTGCGGCCCATCCTCTGCTGCTTCCTGCCCTTTCTCCTCTCCCTGCCCCCTCATCCTCTCCACCATCCTTCCGGCTCCCTTGTTTCCCACGTCCTCCCTGCACTGCCCACCTCCTTCCCTTCCTTCACTCTCCTCTTCCTGATCCATCGCCTGCCTCCGTCCTCCCATATCTGCTTCTTTCTGATTGATCTTCTTTCTCCTCTCCTCCTTCCCATCCTTCCTCCTTGCTCCCTCCTCCCCATTTTGCCCTTCTCTTATCCTTCTTCCTCCCCTCCCTGCCCTCACCCTCCTCCCTGCTGCCCATAGACTATCAATCCCTGAGGGTCGGAGGCCTCGTCATCGCCGGGGTCCTCTTCATTCTGGGAATTCTCATCATCTTCAGTGAGTACCCCCACTGCCTCCAGCCCGGTTCGCCCGCTTTACACCCCAATCCCCCCGCCCCCGTCCCCGCCCCGCCCCGTCCCGCCTTCAACCCCGCCCTATTTCCACCTTCTGCCCGCCCTGTTCCTGCCCCGCCCAGGCACTGCCCCATTTTGCCCCACCCCCATCCCATCCTCGACCCCGCCCGCCTGTACTCCCGCCCTTGGCCCCGCCCCCGGCTCCCCCTCGCCAGCACCCCTGGAGCCACAGTGCCCCTCGGTGCCCGCCTCGAGCGGACTCTCAGCCCTGTCTTCCCCCCGCTCCCTACCCACAGGCAGAAAGTGCCGGTGCAAATTCAACCAGCAGCAGAGGTAAGAGGCCCTCCCGCACTGGCTCACCTGCTCCCGCTCTGCGGGGGCTCTGAGGGCGACGCGGAAGCCCACCCAACCCACAGCCAGAGACCCGTCAGCAAATCTGTACCAAGCACCTACTGGGTGCCACGCCCCAACCCGGGTCCTGGGACCAAGCCATGAATCCCCTGCCCTCCCTGCCCGGCTGAGCCCCCAGCCCCGGGGCGGCGGCTGGAGGTGCCAAGTGCTCCCCAAATACAAAGTCAGGAGCGCGGGGCGCGCTGCGAACGTGCGGCGGAGGAGTGAGGTCACCGCTTGGCGGCCCAGTTTAGCTCAGTCTTGTTGCTCGCTCTTTGATTCGTCGTTAAATAAGAATGTAAAGCCCAGACAATGCGTAAGTGCAAGTACCTTCTCCATGCTAAAACAGTTACAGATGTTGTTATAAATAATAGCCAGGACTCACTGGGCGTGGCCCACGTGCCAGAGGCCGTTGCGCTGCATCTTATTCACCCTCCGCGCCACCCCTCCGAGTAGCTGCTGTGTTACCCTCGTTTTACAGAGGAGAAAACCGAGGCACGGGGGTAAAATCGCTTGCCCGAGATCATCCAGCTGGAAGAGGCCATCTCGAGGCAGTCTGCCCTCAACCCCTTTGGTCGCCCGCCCCCACCCACTCCCAGTCCTTCCCCCGGGAGGTACTCACTGGTGCCCGCAGGAACGCCTCCCGGGGGCCCCTGAATTCGGTCGGAGCCCACGCCTGCTCCTTGCCCACCGCGGCCTCAGGGCACACGGGTCTGCGGAACGAGGGCTGCCTCAGAGGGATCTGGGAGTGGCCGCCCCCTTTTCCCATTCCCGGTTCCTCTGCTTCTCTGTTCCAGGACTGGGGAACCTGACGAAGAGGAGGGAGCTTTCCGCAGCTCCATCCGCCGTGAGTGTGGGGAGACTTCGGGTGTTTGGGGGTGAGGGTTGGTTCCAAGAACCGCATTCCTGGCCCTCCCCGGGCGTGTGGAGGATGGGATTGATCTCAAAATGGGGGGTGGGGAATTTCTCTGCCGCTCCCCACTCCACAGGGACCGGGGTACCCTCCTGACACCCGAACTCTGTGTTCCCCTCAGGTCTGTCCAGCCGCAGGCGGTAGAGACACCTGCCGCCATGGAACCCAGCCAGGTCCTGCAGCTCGGTCTAAGCTGGGCAGGGCGGGGGGGTGGGGGGGGGCGGGCGAAGGGCTGAGGCAGGGGATGGGGGGCTCTCCTGACTCACCTGTTCCACCCCCACAGGATTCCCCTGGCACCTGATGCCCCGCCACCGCCCGCGCACCCGCTGCCACCTGGACTGCTCCACTTCCTAGCCCAGACCCACCGGCTCCTCTGCCGCCCCGACTTCCAATAAAAAGTGTTTTCTCTCCTGACAGCATTTTGTGGATGTCAGTTCTGCGCGGAAGCCTAGCCAGGCACCCCCTAGGACCCGGCAGGGGGCGCCCCCACCCTTGGGGAAGGGGCGGAGACCTCGGCAGTGGGCGGGGGCGGGGGCGGGGGTGGCCAGGACGGAGGCGGGCTCTCCGGGCCCCCATTGGCTACGGCCCCCCCCCCACACCAGGGCTCCCCCATCTCCCCCAGACATCAGTCCATCGGTCTTCCAGCTGCCGCAGCCGTGCCTTCACCGCTTCGGCATCCAGCCTCCCCTGCTGCAGCCCGGCATGGCGACCCCAACCCAGGCCCCCACCAAGGGTGAGCGTCGCCTGGGGAAAGGGTGCAGGGGGGCTCCGGGGTCTTAGAGCTTCGGAGAGAGGACCTGAGGAGCTATCAGTCCCGGAAGGGAGGGGAGAGGGGAAGGGGATGTCCGTTCCTCCCAAGGGCGAGGCCCCTGCAGTGCACCCCTCGGCGCCCCTCTGGGCCTCTTGGGCACCCTCTCCCAGTGGTGTCGCTCCTGTGCGAGACCCGCGGTGGCAGAGCGGCAGTCGGGAGAGAAAGGATGCTCCGACCGGTAGCTATGGCAACCGGGTGGCTGATCCTGCACAGCACAGCATGGTAGTGGACGGCGAAGAGATGGGCTTTGAGGGTGGGAGCTGATGGGGCAGCAGCCACAGAGGTTCTCGCCCTTTTCAGGGTCCCTGAAATGGGTGTGTGTGTGTGGGGGGGGGGTCATATCCCTCTTTTTCCAGCGCTAGCTTCTATGGTGGGAAAGCCCTAGCAGGCAGGTTCAGTGGGAGAGGAGAAAAAGGAATAGGCAGGGAGATGGAGGAAGTGACAGATGGAGAGAGATGAAAACTGACAGCCTGAAAGAGATAGAAAGGGATCAAGGGAGACAGGAGACCCAGAGTCAGAGACCCAGAAAGACAGATATGAGACTCAGAGAGATTCCAGGATAGTGAAGGGGAGAGGCAGAGAGAAACAGAGACATGCAGAGAAAGAGAGGAAATCAGAGACAGAGAAAGATAGAGGGAATGAGGCAACTGCGGAGAGGGACGCAGAGAGAAAGACACAGGAGGTGAGAGAGAGACCCAAATCGCCAGAGAGGAATGAAGAGAGAGGAGGAGGGGCAGCACAGGGTGGGGCCTGATCTACTGCAGCAGCCCCCCTGGCAGGAATGGGTGACAGGTCCCTCCTTTCCAGCCCTCATTCAGGGGTCTTGTCTGGACTGGGGGGTGCACTTGGTGCACACAGATGCTCCTCCCCACCTCCATCCAACCACAGCGATGTGCATTTCACACCCATTAACCCAGTTATATGCACCCGCTTAAACACTCTCTCTCTCCTAAGAGCCTCCTTTCCTTCCCCGAGCTTGCTTCTTCAGAGGAGCAGGGGAAGACTGGTTTAATTGAGGGTTGGGGGCAGAGGAAGGGTTCCCAGCGCCCAGAGAGGGCCAGGGGATAAGGCTAGGGGTCCCGAGGAAACCCCACTCCACTCCAATCTTTCCTTCCCTGCCCCCTTTCCCGGCAGGCAGGGGCTGCTGCATGAGCCGTATCTGCAGAATTGGAAGCAGGGCGGGGGTGGGGGGGCCTGCAGAGGCTGGAAACCACCCTGGGGAGAGGGGGCTGGGCTGAGCCGGCAGGCCTGGCGGGAGCCCAGGGCTTCTTTTCATGGAGGTGGTTAGCAGGATCGATGACAGTAGGCGGGCCAAGGTGGGAAGACACACGCCTCAGCCACCCGCCCCCCCATCTTTTCCCCAGTCACATCATCAGAGGGGACCACAGGTCTTGGGGAACCCCAGGAGGAAAAGTATGGTGTGTCTTGCAAACTGCTTAAGGAAACTAAATAATGGATTGTTGGGAGGGGAGGGGAGAGAAAGGTGAAGTCTCTCCCCAACCTGTCACAAAGCAGGAGGGAGAGCTGGGGACAAACAGGGAATGCAGGAGACCCACTGGGCCTGGGTCCCTTATTCCTGAGAAGGACCCTCAACTTGGCCAGAAGCCAGCCCTGGGGAGGGGCAACAAAGGGAGGTACAAAGGGAGCAGAGGACGTCAAGATTGGCTCCAGAGTTAGAAACCCAACCCCTAAGCCTCCCACAGAACCCCACCGGCCTGAGGTGCCTGAGCCCACCACCTCTCTTCACTTATCAAGATGCCCCAGTTACCATAGCAACCACCTCCTTCCTCTTGTCTCTGGCAACTGGCCAGGAGTGGTGCACATTCCTTTTCCTGCCTCCTGGCTCCACCCTTAGCTCAGCCTAGCCCTGAGAACCCAGATTGCTGGGGTAGCAGGAACCAGAAGAACTTCCGCATGGAGCACAGAGCAGCCAGGGAAGAACCAAAGAGGATTCTAGGACAGGCACTCACCCAGCGGGTTTCTGATGGTTTGGGTAGGGAGGGCACATGGAAACACAGGCAACAAAAAGCAGGATAATCCAATTGCTGTACCTAAGACTTCCTCTTTGAAGACTGAACAGAGAATGGAGAAGGGTGAACTTGCACAGTGTGTGAATCAGTGCTCTTCAGGGTCTTGCTTAAGTGCCACCTGTATTAGTCAGTTTAGGCTAGAGCATTTAGGGCAACAAATAGTACCAAAAATCTCAGTGGCTTCTGACAACCAAGGTTTATTTCTCACTTATACTATTCATCAATCACAGGTCAGCTGGGGACCTCATTCACCAATGAACACCGGAGCGGTTACCATCCTGAACAGTCATGTCACCAGGTCAAAGTCAACAGGGAGCGCTTGTCTGGGCTCTTAGATGCTTCAGCCTGGAAGTGACGATGACATTTCCACTCACAGTTCATTGACCAGGATTAGTCACATGCCTCCGTCCCCCCACATCAAGGCAGCCATCTCTCCCTGAGCCTGGAAGGGGAAGAACACTAACTATAACACCTGGCATTGCTGGCACCCCTCCCCTCACGGCGCCCTAGAATTCTGCCCTAGACACAGCAGACTGTACTAAGAGCTGTCGGAGGAATTCAGGAGCCATCAGATGGGTTCTTGAAGGGGAAAGATGTTCTGAGTTCTCCCGAAGGAGAATATAGTTTGGGACAAGGAGAAAAGAAAATCCACACACATACATATTTTACCCACACATTAACATTTATGAAATCAGGGTGAGTTTTCTAATAGATGGGTGTTTCATGTTGTACAGTTACATACATATTCATGCATAACACATCCACTGGGGAAGCTATTACAAATCAATTATGAATCTTAAAATCAGTAATGCCTTAGAAATAAGTAATATAAGCACATTATATATAGCAGAATATAGGGTATATTATAGGACAGCTCCCTGTGTTGGACTTGGTAGCAGAAGCAAGTGGATGAGAGCAGTAGCTGCAGTGGCTGCCTTTTGGAGCTCAGTGACTGAGAGGTCTCAGGGAGTGTTCAGGGAAAGCTGACACACTCAGCAGCCCAGTGAGATTGGGGTTTCTTCACCTCCATCACCACATGCACGTGAGATTATGTATGTGCTTTCAGGGAATGAATCCATCATTTGCAAAAGCCTACACAAGGGCCCAGGACCAGGACTGTACAAGGGAAGGTATCAGCCAATGGATTAAGTGGGAGCTGGAATCCATCCTGTGCTTCACTCTTCAAACCTTGTGTCCTTCCATGAAGCCCTATCACCCAGAGCAAGGGGTCTCTCTATCTGATTTCTACACAGAAACCGTTAGGCCAGTGGCCCCATCTGGATCCTCATATATGTTAAGAAACCCAGTGTTGAAATATTTTTTTTCCCCTCTCTCTCTTTCTCTGCCTTTCTTCCTACAGTTCCTCAGGAACCTGACCCATTTCACTATGGTGAGTGGCAGATTCTGTGATAAGAGCACCTGGGGATGGATGATGGCGGCTGCTGATCCCCATGGGTCACTGCTGAAGTGACTTCAGTTGTGGCTGATATGTGCTGGGCTACTAGCCATGGGACCATGTGGGTACAGCTCACAACAGCTGGGCTTATAGAGGGCAGAATCAAATTGGGGTACCTTCTCTGGAGTCCTTCAGGCTTCACCAGGACTCAGGGCTGGTGCATTAGGGTCACCAGAGTAGCAAACAAGTCTGAGGCCAGGTTGCCTGGATTTGAATCCTGGCTTAGCCACTCACTAGCCATGTTGCCTTGAGCAAGCAACTTTGCCTTTCTGAACCCTTCTGTAAAAAAGGGAAAGTAATAGTTCCCACCTATAAGAATTGTGAGAAAGATTTACTTGGATGATGCCATTAAATCATTCCTTCCCACAACATGGAAGCTCAAAGAAGCTACCTCCAGGTCTAGCAGACCTGCTCCCTATGACCTCTCCCAACAGCCCGCCTGCCCTCTGCCTTCGCTCACTCACACTGTTCCTCCCACAAGCCGAGTGCTTTCCCACCGCAGGGTCTTTGCCCTGGCTCTTCCTCTGACAGAAACAGTCCTCCTCTAGCTCGTCACACCGCTGGCGAAGGCTCCTCTCCCTTCTTCAGGCCTCAGTCAATACTGACTGCTCTGCTAGGAGAGGCCCTCCCTAATCCCAGGCAAGAGGAGCCACACCTACACATGGTCACATGACTCAATTTTTGGTTTTGTTTTGCTTAGTGCTTTATCACAATAATAAAGTCAACTCCCTGAGGGCAGAGGCCTGGACCACTGCTGATACAGAGTGGGTGCCCTATAAATTAATATTTCAAAAAATATTTACTGCGGTATAATTAGACAAGAATAATGCTTATGTAGGAAAATACTGGAAAGAACTAGATTAAAGTGTTGAGAAGAGGATGGGAAATTCTAAATAGGACAGCCCGAGAAGGTTTGACTGACATTGGAATAAAGCCCAGAAGTTGGTATGGGGGGGGGGGGGAGATTTGGGGGCAGATCTTTCCAGTAGAGGAACAGCAAGTGCATAGACCCTGAGGTAGGACCATGCCCGATATGCTCCGGGAAGAGCAGGGAAACTAGTGTGCCCGGGGTTAGGGGGCTGAGGGGAAGTGGAGTGGGGTGAAGTCCGAGAAGGAACAGAGACCAGATCTTACAGGGCCCTGTGGACTGTGATGAGGACTGGCTTTTACTTGGAGTACAATAAAAATGGGGAGGGGAAGGGGCAGTTCTGAGGGGAGGAGGACCCTGATCTGACTCAGGTGCTAACAGGATCCCTGTGGCTGGGCGAGGAGACCACAGAGAAGGTGGCTTGCTGCAGTAGTCCAGAAGGGTGACAATGGTGGACAGGACGAGGGAGGAGGCAGTAGAAGGAGGGCCAGAGGAGGGGGTGAGGGAAGAGAGGACAAGGGGAGCCATGTCATCTTCACCCACTGGAGGAGCCTCCAGCACAGCCTGCAGCAACCCTGAATTTTGGGACCCTGGCTGGGCAATCTGAAGACAGGTGGGGGGGGGGGTGCTGAGGTGCCACCTCACCTTGATGTCACCCGTTATCTTCCCCAGACTATGACACTGTGCAGACCGTGGGCATGACTCTCGCCACCATATTGTTCCTGCTGGGCATCCTCATCATCATCAGTAAGTGTGTCCCTCTCCTGGAATCTAAAACCCTCAAAGAGGGCCACCTCCGGCCAGGCCCCAGGCGCAGAGTTCTCCTGCTGGCTCTCGACCAGACCCTTATGTCCTGTCTTCTTGTTCTGTCTATCTCTCTCCTAACAGGCAAGAAGGTGAAGTGCAGGAAGGCGGACTCCAGGTCTGAGAGGTCTGGCAGCAGTGGGGAGAGCGGGGAGAGGGGTGGGAACAGAAGGGCCCAGGGCTAGCCTGTGTTCCACATAAACCTGTGGCTATTGAGGCTCTTTAAAAAAAAAATCAATTAGACATTACATAACTTACTAAGTGATCATCCCAATAAATCTCAAATCCTATGCTTTTCTTTCTCATCTTTGCTTCCACAGCCCAACATGCAAGTCCTGTAAGTCGGAGCTTCCCTCCTCAGGTGAGGGTGAGAAAGTGTGTGGTTCTGGGAGGAGGACAGGTGGGAGCAGGAAAGGGAGTCATTAAAAGGGGAGTTGCACTGTATGTCCCTAAGAATGGGGCCACCAACCCAATGGGTGGACATGAGAGATTCAGTAGGAGCTGAGATCCTGCAGCTCAAAATGTTAAACCGTGGCTCGTCAGTGGGATGTCAAATGTCTTAGCGTCCACTAAGCCTCCAGACACAAGGACGCAAGCTTATAGAAGCAAGGATGCACTAATTCTGCCCCCAGTAGAAAGCCAGAAGCCTGGGAAGAGAGGGGACCCACATGGGAAAGGACTTCCGCAGTCAGAATAAGAAAGACAGAGTTGAGTCCTAGAGAAGCAGAAAGCAGATGTTTTCCAGACTTAATTGTTCGATTTGGAAGATCTAGAATGAAATGCAGGAGAGAAGCGAAGGAACTCAGGGAGAAAGGGGTGAAGGAAGGAAGGGCTTTTGAATAATAGTATCAAAATAACAAAAGAAGAGAGGCATGGAATGCAGATTTTTAAAAACTGATGTAAGTAGCATGAAGCAATGGAAAGGGATTAAGAGCAGAGGGGATTGAGGGGGGGGCGCACAGGAGAGGGTGTGGATGAGGCTGGATGGAGGTGGGGGAGGGTGGAATATAGGAGGGATGGGTGCAGAGGGGAGTAGGAAGAGTGGGGGTACTGCAGGGGGAGAGTGGGTGCAGGTGGATGGAAGGTGTAAAGGAGATGAAGAGAGATGTAGGCCGTGGAGAGGGATAAGCATGTAGAGAAAGATTGTGACTCCCTGGGAGTGTTAATTTTAATTATGTAAAAATATCTTGACCTGTTTTTATTGGACCTGCGTCCTCTCCAGGGATATTTAGAAGAATCAGATGGGAATCTCTCTACCTCTTATAAAGTTCTTGTAACTAAAAAGTGGGCTTTGGGGTACTCAACATTTGGGGGGATTTGGTGGCAGATTTCATGTGTTTCATGAGACTTTCTTTTAATGAAACTTAAAACCATTAAGGGGACACTCTGTGGATGACTGGGGGAGAGGGGGGGGCGGGGAGGCCCTGATGCCTGGGGCCGCTCTAAGGGCATGTGCAGGATTCTGACCCACTCCAGTTGAGTGCCGTTCCATGTGGGTGGGAGGTGGAGACTCCCTTTGTGACAGGGGGAAGCCCCCGTCCCCCCCCCCCACCCCCCCCAGAAGCCCAAGCTGGGCCAAGGAGTCTCCTCAGAGATTGTTCACCTCTGACAGTGTCCTACAGGGCAGGTCAGAGACACACAGGCGTCCCTGTGTGGCCCACACCTCAGGGAGGGGGAGGCAAGACAACTCCCCGGTGCTGTCTCAAGACTGTCAGTTCTTGGGGGTCTGGATTCCATGTGGGGGTGAGGGCTCACTGGCTCTGGGGAGGGGATGCTCTGCCGCCGAGGGCAAACTAAGGCCCGCGGGCCGGATCCGGCCCATTTGAAATGAATAAAACTAAAAAAATAAAAAAGACCGTACCCTTTTATGTAATGATGTTTACTTTGAATTTATATTAGTTAACACAAACACTCCATCCATGCTTTTGTTCCGGCCCTCCGGTCCAGTTTAAGAACCCACTGTGGCCCTCGAGTCAAAAAGTTTGCCCACCCCTGCGTCTAGTCACTGACCTAAACTGTCTCTCTCCCTCTCTCTCCAGCCCCAGGAGGTGGCGGTGTGTAAAGCCAGCCTCGGCACCTCCACTGCTGTCCCTGCCTGAGTGTGGGAGCCCGAGGACCGGGTGGAGGTGGTGGGGACCCCAGCTTTGCGCTGCTGGGAGCGCTCCCCGGAATGAGCCGCCCCACCCACCCCGAGGCTGGAGCCGCTGCACCCTGCTGCCCCTCCCAAGGCCTTGGCAATGACGACCCCCTAAAGAGCCTATCTGCATCCCAGATACAGGGACTCTGGTCTCCAGCTCTTGGAGTCCGAGAGCCCAACCCCTGTCCCTCCGAGTTCCCGGGTACTGCCCCCCTGAACCTCCTCGTCTCCTCCCCAAAGATTCGTTCTCCTGCACCCTCGGTGTCTGTGTCTTGAGCTTAATAAATGTGCATTTGGTTTTTCCCCCGTTCTGTCTGTGTGCTCTCATCTGTGGGGACCAAATGGGGGAGGGGCAAAACTGAATCTGGGGAGCTCTCGCCCAAATCCCCAAGTGGTCCCTCCTTCCTCTTCCCCAGCGGCCTCCTCCTCTTTCCAGGATTCCCTTCCTCTCCCTCAACTCCTTCGGGGCTGTGCCCTTTCCGTCTCCTCCTCTAGAGACCCCAATAGACGCCCCCCTTCTCGCCAGCCCCCTCCCCAAAAGAACCCCACCCATCCAAGACCTCCTAGCCCCAGGCCCTGCGGGTGGAGGTCCCTGCCTGGCTTCTCACCCCTCTCCCGGTTCCCATCACCCGTAGCGTCTCCCCCTGCAGCTCCCACCCCAGGCTCTGAAGCCAGGAAACCCAAGAGGAAATGACTGAGCCCGTCTGGGTCCCCGCCCGCCCGCCCGCAGGCGCTCTCCTGGCCACACCCTCCGCCTGCTCGCAGCTGCGGCCGCCGCTGCCCTCTCTCCACGAGGCTGCCGGCTCCGACCCCCAGCTCGGACGTAAGTCTCTCCGCTGACCCTCCTCCACCTTCTCCACTCTGCCCAGGCCCGGGCCCAGGTGAGTAAAGACTGATCTTAGCGGATCCTCTCTGCCCCCATTCATGCTCAGTTCTCCGGCCTCCTCTGCCTGACAGGGGTCCTGGGCTGCGCTGCCCCTCTTGCCCCTGCCTCAGTCTCCCCAGCTCTCCTCTCCCTCTCGGACTATCCCTCCCAGCTCTGCCCAGCATCATGTTCTGTTGTCCCTGCGGGGAGGTCCTGACACTCACTTTTTCCTCTGAGGTCAGGAGCACATTACTCACTCTTCCTCTTTCCCTTCCTTGCTGACTCTTGGGCTGGGAGACAGCCCCTGAGGGAGGGTAGGGGCCCCCGAATCTACCCCTGTGCCCCAGGCCCCTCTGGGTGCCCGGTAGGGTCAGTCCTGGTGGGCAAGTGCTTCTCTGCCTCGGGCGTCTGCACAGTGGCTGCTACCTGAAGCCCAGTTTTGTCTGATGTGTCTTGTTTTCTTTGGGGACCTGCAGAGGGAAGAGGGGGTGGCTACTGGGGATCCCACTTCTGAGACACTCCTATTAGCCCTGGTAGGGGTGTCCTTGAAACCATAAGTACCTGCTCAGGCTGGGGAAGGGGGCTGTAAGGATCCCTGGGGCTGCCCTGGGCCTGCCTCGCTGACATCATGGCTGACCCCGGCTCCTGCTCACCCCATAGATGTCGCCCTCCGGCCGCCTGTATCTCCTCACCATTGTGGGCCTGATTCTCCCCACCAGAGGTAAGGCCCAGCCCTTGTCTCCACCCTGCTCCGGAGCCCTCAGCCCTACCTCGAGGGCCAGGCTGGGTGGGCAGCTAGTGGGTTTGGATGTCCTATCCTGTGTCCTCACCTCCTACTGAGCTGGCCCCCGGAAGTGGGGGTCCCAACGAAGGGGCCAAGATTACATTCCTTTTGGACACCTCAGACCTGGGTGGCTGCTTCCAAGTCTGGCCAGAGCCTGTCCTGCTGAGCAGCCTCCATTTCACCTCCCAGAAGAACTGAGTTTGATTTGGCGAGGAGATGGGTGTCGGTTTTCTACTCAGCAGCCAGGAGCCCTGGGCTCCCAGCAGAGCAGCTCGCTGGATGCCCGGGTGATGCATAGTTAGGCAAAGGGGGTGAGCCAGGGCCAGTCCAGGAGCTGGAGATGTCTCCCCTTTGCCTGGAAGTGCTTTCTGAAGGCAGCAGCTATGGTGGCATTGGCAGGTGCGTTCTGCATGGCAGTGTGTGGGAGCTGGCCTTCAGCTTTACCGTATTATGTTATACGTGTTGCCCTGCTTGTTTCACAATGAAGAAATAGACTCGGCAAAGGAAGTGTCTGTGCCAGAGGCTAATGAGTGGAGGGGCTGGGCCCAGTCATGCTGTCTGTCCCAGAACCCAGAGCACACTCTCCACTCACTGCCGCAGCTCTCTTGGATACAATGGTTTTCGTGTCTTTCGTCAGTCATGCAACAAGTATTCGTTGAGCAGCTACTATATGCCAGATCTTATTGCATGCACTGTGGAAACAGCAGTGTATAAAACAGGGGCTCACATTCTATTTGGGAAAGACAGAAAGCCATTGGTAAATTACATAGTATTCTAGAAGGTGATACGTGTTATGGAGGACGGGAATGAGGATTGTTTGAATAAGGTGTTCAGAGAAGCCCTGACTAGGAGGTGACATTTGGGCAGACACTTGACGGAGATGAGGGGATGAGCCAAGCAGGTATCTGGGGGAATGAGTGAGTCTGGTGAGGAACAGCAGGTAGGCCAGGTGGCTGGGTTGGGTGAACAAGGGGCAGGGTGGGAAAAGGAGAGGTTAGAGTAGTGACAGTAGGGCCAGGGCGAGGCACTGACTGCATGTTAAGCAGTGGGGGAGACTCTTCCCCCCTCCATCTCATTTCACGCTCTCTAAGGTCTGAGAAGTCGATTCAGTCATCCCTACCTTGCAGTCGAGGCTCAGAGTGGGTGACACAGCAAGGGAATGGCTGGGAACAGCATTTGAGATGAGGGCCCTGGCTGACTCTAGTGCCTGGGCTAACCCATCTCCCCCAACCCACAAAGATGGGCAAGGAGAGGGGCTGGAGGAAGGGTGTTGGGGCATTAGCATTTCTTAAAACACTTCTAAGATCATGTATTGATACCACCAAAGCTGAGCAATCAAAGAGCTGTCTGCTGTTCTACCAGCAGATGGACCTCCTGAATTACACGCCCCCAAAGGCTTCAGAAGGGAGGGTAAGTGGGGGTGTTGGTGAGAAGGGGACCAGAGCCTACTCCCTGGCTTCTCATCCTTGATTTCTCAGGACAGACACCCGAGGAGGCCACATCCATTTCTCTAGCAGACTCAACCCCTGTGAACATTCATGCCCTGACTCAAACCCCAGGTGAGGAACGAAGGACAGACCTGGTAAGATCCTGTCATTGCAAATAACAATGGCAGTACAATTCTCAAACTGGACCAAACTGGTATTTTTGAATTTGTGTAACTGAAAAATCCAGGGATAGACCTTCAGGCGTGGCTTGATCTAGGTTCTCAAATGATGCTATCAGGAACCTGTCTTCATCTCTTGGTTCTGTTGTCTCTGTGGTCGCTTCATTCTCAGGCAGAGTCTCCTCTTATTGTGCCAAGATGGCGTTCAGAAACCTGGGATTTCCATCCTACCTGCTAAGAATCCGGAGGGAAGAGAATTTTCCCTTCCCCAATCCAGCAAATGTCCCAGAACTGAGTGTCATTGACCAAGCTCAGGTCACATGCCCACCCCTTTGTGGCCACAGACGCAGAAAGCTGATTAGTCAGACCTGGATCTCATGTTCAACCTCCAACAGGGCTGGTGCCAGCCCCCACTGAATTAAGTAGGCTGAGGGTTGGGGAAGGATGGTTCCCCAAAGGAAGTTCCAAGACTCTTACCAGAGGTGGGTGGATGCTGAGAGGGGGAATGGGAATTGGTGGGAGGGGAGGGCAGGGCCTGAGACAGGGAAGATGCTGCCATTGCATTTAGGCAACGAGGAAATGGCTGGATTAATTAAGTCATTTCCATGACATCAAAATTGAGTTGCTATGGAAATACTCCTGTACCGCCATTCATGGACCCCCTCACCTCTTCTCTTTTCTCTCCCTGTTTCTGGACTTCAGACGCAGTCCCCCCAGAACTCCAGTCCACCCCTCAGACTTCAACCCTGCAGGCTGGTGGTGAGTGGGGCAGCCATACGGGGGGAGGTAGGCCTGGGACCAACATTGTTTCCCCACTTTCCCTGACACTCTGGGTCTTTGGCTACCCATTTCAGCCCTCCCAACTCTGAATCCCCTGGTTTAATTTGTGGTTGGACAGCCAGCCAACTCATTCACTTCTTTAAAAAAAATCTTTTGGAATCTTGAAAAATAATATGCATGTAGAAAAGTACAAAAAACATAAATGTACAACTTAGCAAACCATTCTGAATTGAACCCCTGTGTAACCACCACCAGGTCAAGGAATAGTTTTGCAAACACCCCAGAAATTCCCTATGTGCCAACCCCATTCACTTCTTCCATTTAATCTCTTTATCTTTTTCCCTTTTTTAAAAAATTTTCAAATCATTTTTGAACTTTTTCTTGGAGTCTAACATAATTCAAAAAGTGCTCCCCAATTTTTTCTATTAATGTTTAATGATACAGGTGTATATAAACACATTCTTCTGGGAAGTAATAAAAATATGGTAGGCAAGACGAAATCCCTTTGTCCATTCCCCATCCTTGTAGTCGCTCCCATCTCGGGGAGGCCCCCGCTGTTAGCATGGGGTTGGGAGTAGTCCCCCAGTGAGATTGTATCACGTGTGTGTAACCTGGGGAAAATACGCTGTTTGGGAGGTATATTTGTGTGAGCCTAAGGATATTATATGATTGTGTTTCTGCAACTGGCCTTTCCCCCCATGAAATAATGTTTGGAAATTCTTCCCACATTCCCGTATAGACACTGATCTTGTCCTTTTTCACTGCTAAGTTCTCCACAGGGTACCAGTGCACAGTTAATGAATGTATGCACATCTTTTAAAAATATGTATTTTTATTGATTTTTAGAGAGAGAGGAAGGCAGGGGGAGAGAGAGAAACATCGATGTGAGAGCAGAAGATCGATTGACCGCCTCCTGCATGCCCCCAACTGGGAATCAAACCCCAGCAATCGGGTTTGTGGCCTGCCTGGGAATTGAACCGGTGACCTTTTGGTGCATGGGATGACACCCAACCAACTGAGCCACACAGGCCAGGGCTCTCTGCACATCTTGATGAGCACCTTGGTCACTTCCAGTTTTTTCTGCCACACTCCGTGCCGCAATGAGCAACCTTGTCCCTTTCCCTTTGATCAAACACAGCACTTATGTGACTGTTTGGGTCTAAATATTTCACCCTTGTTCACTTGTCCAATTTTCACACAATCCCTCTAAGGTAAAAATGATCATTATCCCCGCCTTAGAGATAGGGACATGGAAGCTCAGAGTAACT